GAGCCACTGCGCCCGGCCATAATTTTTTATTTCTATGTTTATTTTTTATTCATTTATTTTTGTTGTTGTTGTTATAGAGATGAAGTCTCATGCTATGTTGCCCAGGCTGGTCTCAAACTCCTGGGCTCAAGCAATCCTTCCACTTCGGGCTTCCAAAGTGCTGGGATCACAGGTGTGAGCCACCACATCTGGCTGCATTGTATCCTTACTATGTAAAGGATGTATAGGCCAGGCACAGTGGCTCACACCTGTGATTTCAGCCCTTTGGGAGACCAAAGGCAGGCGCATTGCTTGAGGTCAGGAGACCAGCCTGGCCAATGTGATGAAAACTTGTCTCTGCTAAAAATACAAAAATTAGCCAGTAATCCCAGCTACTGGGGAGGCTGAGGCAGGAGACCAGGTTGAACCTGGGAGGTGGAGGTTGCAGTGAGCCAAGGTGGTGCCATTGCACTCCAGCATGGGTGACAGAGTGAGACTTTATCTCAAAAAAAAAAAAAAAAAAAAAAAACAGAAAGAAAAAGAAAGAAAGGCTGGGCACAGTGGCTCATGTTTGTAATCCCAGCACTTTGGGAGCCTGAGGTGGGCAGATCACCTGAGATCAGGAGTTCAAGACTACCCTGGCCAACATGAAGAAACCCCATCTCTACTAAAAATACAAAAATTAGCCACGCATGGAGGCGTGCACCTGTAATCCCAGCTACTCAGGAGGCTGAGGCAGGAGAATTGCTTGAACCCAGGAGGCAGAGGTTGCCGTGATGTTGCCACTGCAGTGAGCCAAGATCTGGCCACTGCACTCCAGCCTGGGTAACAGAGCAAGACTGTCTCAAAAAAAAAAAGATACATATTTTTTCTTTTTTTTTTTTTTGAGACGGAGTTTCGCTGTTGTTACCCACACTGGAGTGCAATGTCATGATCTCAGCTCACCACAACCTCCGCCTTCTGGGTTCAAGCAATTCTCCTGCCTCAGCCTCCCAAGTAGCTGGGACTACAGGTGTGCACCACCATGCCCAGCTAATTTTTGTATTTTTAGTAGTGACGGGGTTTCACCTTGGACCAGGATGGTCTTGATCTCTTGACCTCGTGATCCACCAGCCTCGGCCTCCCAAAGTGCTGGGATTATAGGCATGAGCCACCGCGCCTGGCGATACATATTTTTTCTTTATTTTTTGTTAATTTTTTTTATAGTCAGGGTTTCACCATGTTCGCCAGGCTGGTCTTGAACTCCTAACCTCAGGTGATCCACCCACCTCGGCCTCCCAAAGTGCTGGGATTACAGGCATGAGCCACCGCGCCTGGCCATATTTTAGCTAAATAGAAAATTGAACAAAGGATATGGGCAATTTATATAAGAAAGACACAAATTGCCAGTAAATGTAGACAGTTCAAATCCAGTCAGAGAAATGCTAATTAAGATTACATATAGGCTGGGTGCAGTGGCTCACGCCTGTAATCCCAGCACTTAGGGAGGCTGAGGCGGGCAGATCACAAGGTCAAGAGATCGAGACCATCCTGGTCAACATGGTGAAACCCCATCTCTACTAAAAATACAAAAAATTAGCTGGGCATGGTGGTGCGTGCCTGTGGTCCCAGCTACTCAGGAGGCTGAGGCAGGAGAATTGCCTGAACCCAGGAGGCGGAGGTTGCGGTGAGCCGAGATCACGCCATTGCACTCCAGCCTGGGTAACAAGAGCAAAACTCCAACTCAAAAAAAAAAAAAAAAAAATACAAAAATCAGCTGGGTGTGGTGGCACATGCCTGTAGTCCCAGCTACTCAGGAGGCCAAGGCAGGAGAATGGCTTGAACCTGGGAGGTGGAGGTTGCAGTGAGCTGAGATGGTGCCACTGCACTCCAGCCTGGTCAACAGAGTGAGATTCCATCTAAAAAAAAAAAAAGATTTTATATGTACGTGTGTGTGTGTGTGTGTGTGTGTGTGTGTGTGTGTATTTGACAAATGCTTAAAAAATTATTATTGGTAAGGTTTGGGGAAACAGACACCCTTACATGCCTGCAATCCCAGCACTTTGGGAGGCCAAGGCAGGTGGATTGATTGAGCCCAGGAGTTTGAGACAAGCCTGGGCAACATAGTGAGACCCCAGTCTCCACAAAAAATACAGAAATTAGCCTGTACCTATAGTGGTCATGATCGTGCCACTGCACTCCAGCCTTGGTGACAAAGGGAGACCCTGTCTCAAAGAAAAAAAAATTAAAGTAAAAAATAAATTTTTATTTCTAGTTTTTAAAAGAGAGAGAGAGTGTGTGTGTGTGTATGTGTGTGTGTGTGTGTATACATGTCATACATGTTTTTTTCTTTCTTTTTTTTTTTTTTTGAGACGGAGTTTCGCTCTTGTTACCCAGACTGGAGTGCAATGGCATGATTTCAGCTCATCGCAACCTCCACCTTCTGGATTAAAGCAATTCTCCTGCCTCAGCCTCCCGAGTAGCTGGGACTACAGGTGCGTACCACCATGCCCAGCTAATTTTTGAATTTTTAGTAGAGACAGGGTTTCACCTTGTTGACCAGGATGGTCTCGATCTCTTGACCTCGTGATCCACCCGCCTCGGCCTCCCAAAGTGCTGGGATTATAGGCGTGAGCCACCGCCCCCGGCCTTACATGTTTTTTTCTTACCCAGAGAAGATGAGAGCAATGCTTGAATGCTAACAGTAGCTGTCTCTGAGAGGCGAGGTGATGGGAGATACCTAGATTCTTTTTTATACTTTTTCAGTGTTTTCCACACTTTCTACATTGAATACATTTCCCTTTAATTGAAAAATACTGCCCACCTCTTTTTTTTTTTTATTTGAGACAGAGTCCCACTCTTGTTGCCTAAACTGAAGTGCAGTGGCATGATCTAGGCTAGCTGCAACCTCCGCCTTCTGGGTTCAAGCGATTCTCCTGCCTCAGTCTCCTGAGTTGCCAGGATTACAGGGATGCACCACCATGCCTGGCTGATTTTTCTATATTTAGTAGAGACGGGGTTTCACCATGTTGGCCAGACTGGTCTCAAACTCCTGACCTTAGGTAATCTACCCATCTTGACCTCCCAAAATGCTGGGATTACAGGCATGAGGTACTTTGCCTGGCATTATTATTTTACATTATTATTTTTATTTTTATTTTATTTTTTTGAGACGGAGTTTCACTGTTGTCACCCATACTGGAGTGCAATGGCACAATCGCGGCTCACCGCAATCTCCGCTTCCTGGGTTCAGGCAATTCTCCTGCTTTGGCCTCCCAAAGCGCTGGGATTACAGGCTTGAGCCACTCTGCCCGGCCTATTATTTTTTTTTATATAGAAGGTCTCACTCTGTTGCCCAGGCTGGAGTGCAGTGATGCTGTCATACTTCACTGCAGCTGGAACTCCTGGGTATAGACAATCCTCCTGCCTCAGCCTCCTGAGTAGCTGGGATTACAGTCATGTGCCACCAGGCCCAGCTAATTATTAAATTCTCTGTAGAGGTGAGGTCTCACTCTGTTGCCCAGGCTGGCCTCAAATTCCTGGTCCGAAGCCATCCTCTTGCCTCAGTCTCCCCAGCTGCTGGGATTATAGGCGTGAGCCACTAAGCCCAGCCAAATTTAAATTTTAAATATTTTTTAAAATATGGAGGTGGAGGTTGCAGTGAGCCAAGATTGTGCCATTACACTCCAGCCTGGGCAACTCCATCTAAAAATAAATAAATGACTTTTTTTTGAGACAGCGTTTCACTCTTGTTACCCAGGCTGGAGTGCAATGGCGTGATCTCGGCTCACCGCAACCTCTGCCTCCTGGGTTCAGGCAATTCTCCGGTCTCAGCCTCCGAGTAGCTGGGATTACAGGCACGCGCCACCATGCCCAGCTAATTTTTTGTATTTTTAGTAGAGATGGGGTTTCACCATGTTGACCAGGATGGTCTCAATCTCTTGACCTTGTGATCCACCTGCCTTGGCCTCCCAAAGTGCTGAGATTACAGGCTTGAGCCACCGCGTCCGGCCCGAATTTTTTTTTTCAGTCTAAGTCTATTTCATGCAATAGTTGACATACACTTATACTAAAAATTATTTGCTATTTATCTGAGATTCAAATTTTACTGGACATCCTGTATTTTATCTGGCCACTCTACCCTTGAAGGGGAAATCTTGGCTCAGATGTGAGTAGAGGGAGCTTTCTGGGTAGAGGAAGCTTTCTGGGTAGAGGCCTCTGGTGAAAACTCTGCAGGTGTGTTGGGGTCCTGATTAGCGGGGCAGGGTGGGTCTGTGGGTTCACTGATGAGTGAGAAAGAGCAGCCGTGCAGCAAGGCTCTTTAAGGTGCTCCAATGCCAGGGTTAGGAACTTTGCTTCTGGTTTCATAACCATGGGGAGCCACTGAAGAATGTTGACCAAGGGAAAGAACCTAATAAAGTGATGCTTTAAGAACGGAAGCTGGCTGGGCGTGGTGGCTCAAGCCTGTAATCCCAGCACTTTGGGAGGCTGAGGTGGGTGGATCACCTGAAGTCGGGAGTCTGAGACCAGCCTGGTCAACATGGTGACACCCCATCTCTACTAAAAATACAAAAATTGACGACATGGGGGCACAAGTTCTGTAATCCCAGCTATTCTGGAGGCTGAGGCAGGAGAATCGCAGGAACCTGAGAGGCGGAGGCTGCAGCGAGCCGAGATCGCCACCACTTGCAGGCAACAAAGCAAGACCCCGTCTCAAAAAAGAAAAACAAAATAGAATGGACACTGGTTGGGGATGGAAAACTGCTGTAGTAGTAAGTGGCTGACAGGTGGCAGGCGGATAACAGGTTTGGGGTGGACTCCCTTGCATGTGGGTGGACTTGAGTCACCCCGTTTTCTCTTTGTTTCTTCTCCGTCTCAGGTTCACTGCATCAGCACACAGTTCACATCCTGAAAGAAAGGTGGAGAGAAAGGCGTCCCTTTCTGCCTCCTGATCAACACCTTCAGGCCTAGTGACAAGGGGCTTCCACCTGCACTTGGCTGGCTGCCTCATCAAGGTTTTTAAGGTACGGGCAGCAGTGCGGCCTGTTTTCCTCCCTCACAGGGCTGTCACCTGGCCTCGCTGGCTGTGTGGGTTCTGGCCCCACGTTGCTGTGCCCCTCAGCCTGCTGTGCCCCACCTCTTGGACTGTTTCCTTTTCTGTACACAGAGGGATGGGACTTGGTCTCCGTCTCACAGGCAACCCAACAGAGCCACTGAAGGGAGGCGGACAGGTAAAGAAGGAGCCTCTGGCCCGGTGTGGTGGCTCATGCCTGTAATCACAGCACTTTGGGAGACTGAGGCAGGTGGATCACAAGGTCAAGAAATCGAGACCAAGGGCCTGGCGTCCGCTTGTTGCGTCCACCCACAATTCCCGCCGTGGCTGCGTGCGGGCCGGAGTGTTTGCCGGCTGGAGTCTGCGCCGGAGCCCGCCGCCTGTAACATGTTGCAAAAACCGAGGAACCGGGGTGGCTCTAGCGGCCACGCCAAGAGGGTCAGAGACTCGAGCCAAGGTGGAGACGCCCGGGCCCCCAGAGACTGCGTTGCGGAGGAGATCCCGAGCACGTCCCGCGGGTTGCGCGGCTTGCAGGGGGCGCGGGGCTCCTCGCCTCAGGGCGCCCGCGATTCTCTGGCCGCCCCCGCTGTGGGGCCCATGACCCAGAAGCAGCTGGAGCTGAAAGTGTCCGAGCTGGTGCAGTTCTTGCTGATTGAGGAGAAGATTCCGATCAAGTGGGCCGACATACTGAAGCACGTCGTCGGGGACTACAAGGACGTCTTCCCAGACCTCCTCAAACTGGCCGCCGAGCGCCTCCAGTACGTCTTCGGGTACAAGCTGGTGGAACTTGAACCCAAGAGCAACACTTACATCCTCATCAACACCCTGGAGCCCGTGGAGGAAGATGCCGAGGTGAGGGGCTACCAAGGCACGCCCACCAAGGTCCTCCTGATGATCGTCTTAGGGCTCATCTTTATGAAGGGCAACACCATCAAGGAGACTGAAGTCTGGGACTTTCTGCGGCGGTTAGGGGTCTATCCTACCAAGAAGCATTTAGTTTTCGGAGATCCAAAGAAACTCATCACTGAGGACTGTGCGGCAGCATTACCTGGAGTACCGGCGGATACCTCACACCGACCCCATGGACTACGAATTCCAGTGGGGCCCACGAACCAACCTGGAAACCAGCAAGAAGAAAGTTCTTAAGTTTGTGGCCAAAGTCCATAAGCAAGACCCCAAGGACTGGCCAGCACAGTACTGTGAGGCTTTGGCCTATGAGGAGAACAGAGCCAGACCTCAGCCGAGTGGCCCAGCCCCATCCTCTTGAAATCTGAGGTGGATTCAGAGGGAATCCCAGGACAAAAGTCTGAGACCCAAAGGCACATCTAGAGGGATGGGGGAAGGGAGAACTCAGGGAGCATATTTCTGTAACACTTCAATGTGCGTAGCTTTAGGATGTGTTTGCACAGTTTTGTTCTTTAATGTTGTGTTATTTGGTTCCAGATTTTCATTTATAAAAGGAGGATTTGTTTTGTTTTGATTTTACTGTTTTTGGTATGAAAAATTTTGTTAGTAAAACGAGTTGGAAAACTTGACTATGATCTGGAACAGATATGCAAGAAGAAACACAGTGAGTTGCTTTGCTGCCAAGAAAATAAAAGCAAGCTAGCTATTATTGGGTCTCATAACTACCCCAGTTTGTAAGGAAAAATAAAAGTTTTTATAAAATTAAAAAAAAAAAACGAGACCATCCTGGCTAACATGGTGAAACCCCATCTCTACTAAAATACAAAAAGCCGGGCACGGTGGTGCATGCTGTAATCCAGTACTCCGGAAGCTGAGGCAGGAGAATTTCTTAACCCAGGAGACAGAGGTTTCAATAAACTGAGATTGTGCCACTGCACTCCAGCCTGGCACGAGACACCATCTCAAAAGAAAGAAGGAGCTTCTGAGGCTTTCCTCATCCTCCTACAGCCCAAGGGTTGACCGGAAACTGAAAATGGATCGTGAGAAGCTGGAGAAACAGCCCATGCATGAGAGGGACAAGTATCAGACCGCCTGCAAGAGCACTGTTTTCTTGGAGGTGCGTGTGTTGGGGCGAGAGCTGGAGGGGAGACTTGGAAAAAAGATCCTTACCATACAGATGGGGAAATTGGGGCCTCCAGAGCTCTGACTGCTGCAGGCCCATCACAGCCCCCAGGACTCCACTGCTTCCTGAAGAAGATACTCTCCACCCTGTCTGTGGTTGTTGAAGCTTTCATGAGCTGATGCCCTCCAGGCTGCCTGTCCTGCGCTGCCCAGGCCCATCGCCACCTCCTTCCTTGTGTGCTCCCTCTGCCTGGCCCCATCGTCCTGCTGCCACTCCTCCTGGCCAGCTCTTCCTGGGCCCTTCCCCACTGCCCCAGGCCCAACAGCTCATTAATCTCTTCCTTCGTGTGGAAACTCCATCCACTTGTCAGGACCTTAGTCAGCTCTTAACATACAGGTGGGAGCAAAGAGCAACGACCTGCATTGCTGTGTGTTTGCCCACAGTGTTCGCCATGGCCGGAGTCCCCTGCAAAACCCCCGCCACCTCTCAGCTCTCTGGCTCTGACCTCTCCCCACTCCTGCAGGCTCCTGTCCCCAGAGAGGTGAGGCAGGATGAGCACCTCCTGTCAGCCTTTTGGGCTGAGAGTGAAGAAAAGGGCTCCCAGCCCAGGGATGGGGCAAGGGGCAGGGCTGAGGGTGGGGCTGAGGACAGACGGGAGCAAGCTCTGTGTCCCAAGGGTGTTGATGGAGGGAGACTGGCTGCAATGCCCCACAGAGTCCCTGAACCATTGCTCCTCTTCACAGGCTCTGTTCCTCACCGCCATTTGCTCTGGACACCTTGGAGTGTAGCCCTGTTAAGGTGAGCCTTCCCCTTCCCACTCCCCAGGGTCTCAAAGCCTTCTCGGCAGTTTCATCTCATGCTCCAGAATGGGGTGGCCCTGCCCCCTGGTGGCCAGATATGGTATGGCCACAGATTGTAACGGACCTGATAGGACTGGGCAAGGAGGAGCCTCCCCTCTCAGCCTTGGGACCTCCCAAGGGAGGGGCTGTTTCCCTTTCTTGTTCTGTCCCTGGGTCCCGGTATTACCTGGACCATCCATTTAATACCTCAGGAGCTGAACCATAGAACCTCCATCTCAGAGACAGAGCAGTGGCTGTATCAGCATCGGTTCTCCAGCTACTGCCAGATGCTGGCCAACTTCACTGGTAAGGCTGGTGTCTTGCAGGAGCCAGACCTGTAGAGACTGAGGGTGGGTGGACACTCAGGCAGGAAACCTGCCTCTGTCTTGGCTTATTGTGGCCCTTTAAGCTTTTTTGGAGTGTAAGAGTTGCCCAGCGTTGTGCTAGGCTCTCATCTCATGAGTGATCCCATGTAATTTATATGCTACTCCTTGATGACAGTGCCCAGAGAGGTTAAATAACTTGCCCAAGACACATAGCTAACAAGTGGCAGAACTGGGATTTGAATCCAAGTCTAACTCCCATGTCTGAGCACACTAGGGCTATATGTAGACTAATAGACTGTGTCCCTTGCTTCCCACCCTTGATCCCAGGCCTCTTTCCCCAGTCTGGCTCTGTCTGACTCTACAGGCCCAGATCTGCTGAAGCTTACACGCCAGGACCTTATCCAGATCTGCGGGGCTGCTGATGGAATCCGTCTTTTCAATACTATTAGAGCTAGGTGCTGGGCACAGCCAATCAGGGTCCCCTTCCCACTGTAGTGGCCCTTATTGACTTAGCTAGTAGGTGTGTTTCATACCATTTTTATTTTTTTAAATTTTTTTAATTAAAAAAATTTTTTTGAGACAGTTTTGCTCTTGTTATCCAGGCTGGAGTGCAATGGCGCAATCTCAGCTCACTGCAACCTCTGTCTCCTGGGTTCAAGCAATTCTCCTGCCTTAGCCTCCTGAGTAGCTGGGACTGCAGGTGTGTGCCACCATGCCCAGCTAATTTTTGTATTTTTAGTAGAGACGGGGTTTCACCATGTTAACCAGGATGGTCTCGGCCTCCCAAAGTGCTGGGATTATAGGCATGAGCCACCGCACCCGGCCTATTTGTTTTTAAATATATATGAAGTTTCACTCTTGTTGCCCAGGCCAGAGTGCAATGATGTGATCTTGGCTCACTGCAACCTCTGTCTCAGCTTCAAGCGATTCTCCTGCCTCAGCCTCCCAAGTATCTGGGATTACAGGCATCTGCCACCATGCCCAGCTAATTTTTGTATTTTTAGTAGAGACAGAGTTTCACCAGGTTGGCCAAGCTGGTCTTGAACTCCTGATCTCAAGTGATCCACCCACCTCGGCTTCCCAAAGTGCTGGGATTACAGGCGTGAGCACCATGTCTGGCTTATATAGTGTTTAAGCCAGAAGGCAACTTAAAGACCACTTAGTCCCACTCCCTCCTTTTACAAAAGAAACTCAGGCCCAAGAAGGACAGTGACCAGTCTGAGGTCACAACCCAAGGCTGGCAGGGCTGGGGTGAAAAGCTGGGCTCCTGTGACCTCCTCCTTCTGTGGCCATCCCACCTGCATCATTCCATTTCTGGGAACAAAGATATTTATGGGTCCCCCCCCCATTTTTTCTCCCCCTAGTGTCCAGCATTCATTAAATATCTAAGAACTGTTTAGTGACCTCCCTCCCTCAGGACCTGGGAGGAGGCTAGGATCTCTCCTAGGATGGGGGCTAGAAGTGGGAGCTGTTAGTTCGGGTATAAGGCTGATACAGAGACTGTTTTCCTGGCCCAGGCCCATCCATCACCGACTGACTTTGTATGTGGCTCAGGAGGCCTCTAGGCAAGAAAACGAGGTTCCAAAGAACTCAGGTGAGGTTCTGGCCTCTCTCCAGAAGACAGGAAATTCGGGTGTAGCTGCCTGAAACCTCTTCTGGGGAGGGTGATACCCCACTATTCCTGGGACCCAGGATGCCCTTCTTGGCATTCCCCTACCTTCTATGAACAGATTAGTCCCTCTCCTTCCAGAATGTCTCCATGGGTTTATTCTACCATGTTCTACTCCCCCATCTTACCTGTCACTCCATTAGCATAAGGAATTAGAACATCATCTTGTGATGCACTTGAGTCCCAGTCATTAACATGTAGGTGTCCTAGGCTGGTGTGGTGGCTCACACCTGTAATCCCAGCACTTTGGGAGGCCGAGGTGGATGGATCACTACTAGGTCGGGAGATTAAGACCATCCCGGCTAACCCAGTGAAACCCGTGTCTATTAAAAATACAAAAAATGAGCCAGGCATGGTGGCATGAACCTGTAATCCCAGCTACTTGGGAGGCTGAGGCAAGAGAATCTCTTCAAGCCAGGAGGCGGAGGTTGCAGTAAGCCAAGATTGTGCCACTGCACTCCAGCCTGGGTGACAGAGCCAGACTCTGTCTCAAATATATATATATATATGTGGGTATCCCATGTCTTTAAACACCTCCCAAAAGGTGAGGGATGAGAGGTGAAGTAGACTTCTTTCCTTCCTCTCCCCCACCCATGGCCATCTTCCTGGCACCCCTGGTTTCCTGTGGGTGCATCTCTGAACCCTCTTCCCCCACTGACCCCTGCCTCTGTTGCCCGTGTCCCAAGACTTTTATCAAGAGCTCTCTCTGGATGAACTCACTGCTGTAGAGCTGATGGGGAAACTGGCTGAGCTCCTGGCCCTCCCAGCCAATCAGATCCATCACCTTTTCCACCAGGGCCCTGGGGGCATCCTCATTCTCCTCAGTGACCAAGTAAAAGGCAGCCATTTCCTGTCACAAGTCCCCATCGAGGCCTTGCTAACACTTCTGCCTCAGATTCAGCTTTCTTTTTCATGGCATGGCTTGTTCTCTTTGGCTTTAAGAACAAAATTGTCTTTGTGCCCACTTCTCTCTTATACGTGGTCCAGAATTTTAAGGATAAATCATACTTTGTGGTTGTGGTGAAGAAAGGTAGGGATTTTAGAGTCAGAGGAGTGTGGCTGGCCAGCCCTATAAAGGGTGATAGGAGTGTGCTGAGCATATATTGTGTGTCCTAAATGAGATTAAAAGGCTCTTTGGGGGCCAGGCGTGGTGGCTCACACCTGTAATCCTAGCACTTTGGGAGGCTGAGGCAGATGATTTCACTTGAAATCAGGAGTTCAAAACCAGCCTGGCCAACATGGCAAAACTCCCTCTCTCCAAAAAATTAGCCAGTCATGGTGGCGGATGTCTGTGGTCCCAGGTACTTGGGAGGCTGAGGCAAGAGAATCGCTTGAACCCAGGAGGCAGAGGTTGCCCCACTGCACTCCAGCCTGGCTAACAGAGCAAGTCTCTGTCTTAAAAAAAGAAAATAAAAAGAAAAAAAAAAAGAAATAAAAAAGGCTCTTTGAAGGGGGTTAAGTGGGTGCATCCCAATTAACTGGCAAACATCTGTGAATGCCAACTTTATGCCAAGGGGAGGGGGATTTGTATAGCTAAAAGACATTTACTGCTTAGGAAAAATGTGGTTGAATAAACGCATTCTCATGAAGTACAAAATGCTCCAGTTTCTGTTGTCAGGGAGTTTATTAGAGAAGCTAAGGCACCACTTTTCTCCACCTGCCCCCTGAATGATACAAGGCAGGACAAGTGCTTGCTGGACATCACCTGGCCTATGGCACCTCTGACTAGTCTGCTTGGCATCTGGTTATTCAGATGTTTGCCTTCCACCCCTCCACATGCCAGAGCTGGTCAGCTTGGCGTATGTATACAAGGGGAGTAGGTAGGAAGAGGTAGATGTGAAGTGGGGTTTTATGAGTTGGGTGTGCCAGACACACTGTAGGCTGCTTGGAGGTTGAGGACCTGACTCATCCTATTGGTGCCTTTTTACTGCTTCAGTGCAGAATCCAGATGGCTACTACTTGGTGCTGACCTAGGCCCAAGGGAACTCCACTGCTCAAGACTGATGGCTTGGTCTTCACCAGAAACCTTGTTAAAACGATTGCTGACTCACTAGGCTCCAGGTGAACCAAACTATCTTGCATCTTACCCCCAGGGAGGAGACAAATAGCTCCAGCTTCACGTTTCTTTCTGCTCAGCAGCAATGGTGGTTGGAAGTCTCCCTTGCCCATTCATTCTGAGCTGGCCAAGTTTATGAGGCAAAAAAACTGGCACGTGGAAAAAGAACTTTTGCCATGAGCAGTGTTGGCTACTGAACACTAAGAGTGTGCTAATTCATTTAAAATTTTTACTCAACCCCTTCCTTTTTAAATTAAAAGTTAATTTTTAAAAGGTATATACACTTAATGTGTTGTCCAATGTGTTGAACATTTAATGTGGTGTTCAGTTTTCTTGGCTTTATTGTCCCCAAGGGGAAACGTCTTCTGCTTAAACTATAAACTAGGGCAAAGGATGGGGTCTGGAACAAGGGAATAAATCAATCCAGCTGGATCGTTTTTTTTCCCCCAATTAGTTTGGGCAAAACTACTGAAGCCTCCAAAAGACAATATTCAAATCACTGTACCTACTAAACTCAGTTCTGCCAGGTGCAGTGGCTCATGCCTGTAATCCCAGCACTTTGGGAGGTGGAGGTGGGTGGATCACCTGAGGTCAGGAGTTTGAGACCAGCCTGACCAACACGGTGAAACTCCATCACTACTGAAAATACAAAAAATTAGCCAGGTGTGGTGGTGTGTGCCTGTAATCCCAGCTACTCAAAAGGCTGAGGCAGGGGAATTGCTTGAACCCAGGAGATGGAGGTTGCAGTGGGCCAAGATTGCACCACTGCACTCCAGCCTGGGAGACAGCAAGACTTTCCGAAAACAAGACAAAAATAAAACTCAGTTCTAAGAGATTTAGGAAATACTATAGTTATTCTCTAGAATTAAGGCTATGGGGCTATCCTTAAAAAAAAAAAAAAGACATTTTTCTTAAGTTTTAAGAGATGAGGTCTCTGTTGTCAAGGTTGGTCTTGAACTCCTGGTATCAGTGACCTTTCCACCTAACCTCTCAAGTATCTGGGATTACAGGTGTGCACCACTGTGCTTGGCCTTTTTTAAAACCTTAAATTTTATTAATCTTTCATTTTTTGATGTTAAGAAATATTTTCCTAAAGTCATGAATGTATTTTTTTTTTTCCGAGACCCAGTCTTGTGCTGTTGCCCAGAGCTGGAGTACAATGGTGCAATCTCGGCTCACTGCAACCTCCACCTGCCGGGTTCAAGCAATTCTCTTGCCTCATCCTCCCGCATAGCTGGGATCACAGGTGTGCACCAGTGTCCGGCTAATTTTTGTATTTTTAGTAGAGACAGGGTTTCACCATGTTGGCCAGGCTGGTCCCAAACTCTTGACCTCAGGTGATCCATCTTCCTTGGCCTCCCAAAGTGCTAAGATTACAGGCAGGAGTCACTGCATCCAACTAGAGTACCATTTTTTTTCTTTCTTTCTTTAGACTGCCTAGCAGGAGAGAACCACTCTTATATTAAATAGTAAGTGCTTTCTTAAAAGATAAATGGTATCAGGTCATATCTTAACTCCGTTACATTTTTCCCTGTTCCCCCTCCCTTTAAGTTTTACTATGAAAACCTTTAAATATTACAGAAAACTGTGTTTGAAGATTTTCACAGGCACAAAGTGGAAGACAAGTCATTTTTAAGAGTCTGCTGAATAGTTCAGTTAGTATGAACAACTGAGCAGACACTGCTCACATCCTTGGAAGGGACTGTGTTGGGATTAATCTAGGATAAAGGTAGGTCTTTACCTTATGTGGGACAATAAATGGATGTGAAGTGGGGCTTGTGATTCCACAGGGCTCCCCAAGGGCGTTTCATGGCCAGGTAGACAGAGATTTAAATTAATTTGCTGAGTTGGCTCTACTGCTCACCTCTACCAAAAGGATGGGGACCCTATTGCATTTATGTTTGTGTATCTCTATGTCCTAGAGGCCTCTAGCACAGACTAGGTATTGAAATATTCACTGGGATAAAGAGAATAAAAGCTGCCAACATGTGAGTGTTTACTGGGTACCATTATGAGGGATCTGTAGGGATCGCTCCCGCGTGAGGCCCCTGGGAAATGGGCCTCGCCATACAGTGAGCTTGAGCCCGGACACAGATCCCTGGTTGGGGGAGTCAAGCTGAGGGAAAGTAGGAACCGAGAGAGGAACTATATGTTATCCAAAATAATTAACAGACATTACTTTATGGATATGAGGACTTGGGAGGCATTGTGTCTACTTTCGGCTTGTTATGGTTTATTGCTTGTGTTCATTTTGGACCTGTTACTTACTTACCGTAACTTACAGGGCATAACTGTAACTTACTTACCATAGCTTACAGGGCGTGACTATAATCTACTTACCTTGACCTATTGGGCGTAACCTACTTACTGGAAGTAACCTACTTACTGGGCGTAGCCTACTTACTGCGCTTATCTTACTTACTGGGTGTAACTTGCTTACTGTAACTTAAGTACGTTAATCTGGCATAAACAACTTTAACTTCAGAAAAGTATATAATGAAACACATTGCAAAAATAAAATTGCTGCATGAGCATAGTGCATGTAGCCCTCCAGACCTCACTCTTTTCTATCTCCTTTTTTTCCGGCGCGCGCTCTCTTCCAGGTTTGGGACGCTCTCGCTGGACGAGATTCCCAGGCTCGCGTTCAGTTCACAACAGCTGGCGCCCAACGTGGGGCGAGTCAGTTCACACCACCATTATCTCATTTAATCTTTACAACTGTACAAAGTAGATACTGTAATCCTCATCTTACCAATGGAGAACTGAGAAAGGGAGGTTAATTGACTGAGGTCATATAGGATAAATGGTATAGGTTTGACCTCAGGCAATCTGACTTTTGAGCTTGCGCGTTTAACCATTACACTACTCCATCTTGACTCCTTGCTAGTCGAAGTAAGGGCAACCAATGCTCTGCATAGAGAGAAGGGACCTGGGTTGAATTCTATCCATCTAATTAAGGCAACTTATTTACAATATGTCTTTCTTGTTTCTTAATGACAAATGAAGCTCAGGGTATTAAATAATGGCCGTTAAAAAGTATTAAATGGAGGCTATTAAATGAGTCAATAAATGAGTATTAAATAAAGGCTATTAAGGAGTATTTAAAAATGTAAGGATGCCAAAAAGAAGTCCATTCAGCCTCAGGAGACTTTGTAGTTCTAGGCTTCAAGGAAGTTAAAAATCACTGCTCCAAGTCAGGCTATTTCCACAGGAAAATGAAAAGTCTTCACAGCTTATTTTCTTTAATTACATCATAAAACAAAATTAGAACATACAGGAAACAATAGTTACATAACAATTTATATATTTATATATAAAAAACTTATTTATTTTTAGTCCAAAGATTTTTAAAGCAAAAGGAATCCTCTACTGCCACCTCGGATTTTATTTATTTTAAATAACACCCCTCCCCATCCTCAAGTGCCAAAAGTACTGGGTGGAAACAGTCACTTGGAGAGCTAATGGAACCTGATGCTAAGTTACCCCATAGGCAACTGTCAGCTCCAGAGATTGGCTAAGCATTTGGAACAGGCCTGGTGGAGAAACAAGCAAGGAGCAGCCCCCACACATTGCAGCACTCCAGGGTAGGCCCCACAGCTGGGGAAGGAGGGGATTAGACCCTGCAGCCAACCACCTCTGCATTTTACCCCCTCAGAGGAGTGGATGGGGGGTGTGGGGTGCAGGGATGAAACAGAGCCTGGTTTGAAGATAAAAATGTCTCCAACAGCACCATTTACCATCCATCTCTGTCCCTGAGCAGAGTCCGACAGGCATGGGTAGTCCTCACAGTTCTCTGAGCTCTGCACAGGCCACATTATTTGGATCTGTGCTCTCAGGGTCACTGGAAGGTGGGCAAAGGTGAGCAGAGCAGCTGAGAAGTGCACACGGCAGGTTACCTGGAAACAATTCCTGGGAGGAAAAAGGAAGAGGCCAGGGTAGGAAGCATCTGAAGGCCAAGTCATAAAGTAGGAATGGAGAAAAACAAAATTAAGAAATGCAAAATTATAAAAAGGCCTCTCTCCTCTTACAGTCACCCTTTGGAGTGGGTAGTCACAGACACTCGGGGCTCTAAGAGCCACAGCATGGTGAGAAAGGACAGGGGTAGCTTCTGAGGAAAATGGTCTCATGGATCTTGTGTAGGTGCCAACAGGCTTTAGGAGTTATAAATTAGTGTGTAATTTGGAAGTGGAGTGGGGAGGGGAGTGAGAAGAAATCAAGTTCATCTCTTCCTGCACTATCAGAAATGAACAGTCATCAGAGAAGCACAGATAAATTATTCTTAAGGGAAGGAAAAAAGTAATGTAAACCCGAGAAAGCAGCAGCAAAGGTTTCACTTATTAAAAATCTATTATATAGCACTAGGAAAGAAAATTGTCTGTCCATAGGGGGTAAAAAAGTAATTAGTCAAACCATGCCAGTTAGAGACTTTTTCAAGTTAAGATTTTCTAAGACCTTAGGTTTTCATTCTCTAGTGCCATAAAAACAGGGAGGCGGGGGAGGAGGAAAGTAGAATAATGACTTCAAGGGCTGAGAAGGCTGAGGCTAAGGTAAGAAACATATACGTGTGGGGGACAGCAATGTGGTACAGATCTGAATTAATGAGATAATGACAAGAGAAATTTAGTGAAGCAGTTTTCTTCCAATTTAACAAAAAAGACATCACACTTCAAAGATGATCCTTGGTTCTTGGGACAGGGCAGAAGAGAAAAGGTAAATGTGTCTGGACACCTCTTTTCCCATTTCTTCCTAGAGTACGGATTGTCATTTACTGCTCATCTCTCTCGTCCTAGTACCAAAACCACACCCAGATGCAGCTGGATGCACTTGTGGTTCTGATGGTGGTGCCAAAACCCATCTGTATGACCGGTTAAGTGTGTAGAAACTAGGAGCCCTCTTTGCCAGTAAAAAGGGGTGGAATTCACCAAAAAGGAAAGTAAATGTACCCATGTGTGAGGCAGTCGTCACTATGTATTCAGGACAGATGCTGTACCTGAGGCAAAGTACCCCAATTCTAGAGCTAATTCTCTCCTTTATTTGAACCTCATCTATCATTTTCCCATGCTGATTCTTCAAAATAAGACTATAAAACACAAAACATTAAAGACTATTGATAGGACTTTACTTGCTTATAGTTCTTCTTCATAAAAGGGCAATAAACCACCCTGGCTGAGGAAGCACTGAGACTCAACATCTGCAAACTGAACCTCACAAGCACTTATTAAAAAACATAAGGCAGAGGTGGAAGATGTGCATATGGACTTTCTCTTAACATCCCACAGGGGAGCTTGCTCTAATTAATTTTCCTCCCCAAAATTAACTCTCTTGGGGTCCAAAGATCCACTCAATCTCACCTGAGGGGTTATATACTGAGTAAAGTTCAAAGGCTTCAGAGACACTGAATTGATGTTTCTAAAAATAAAAATAGGTACAACAGATGTGACTTGAGGGGAAAGCTGCAGAAATCCTTCATGCAAGAAACTCACTTGCCTCATATGGTACTTTCAGGCAGGTAGAAAGTTTATCCTGGGCCGGGTGTGGTGGCTCATGCCTGGAATCCCAGCACTTTGGGAAGCTGAGGCGGGCAGACCACCTGAGGTTGGGAGTTCGAGACCAGACTGACCAATATGGTTGAAACCCCATCTCTACTAAAAATACAAAAATTAGTCAGGTGGTAATGGTGTGCACCTGTAATCCCATGCCACCACACCTGGCTAATTTTTTGTATTTTTAGTAGACATGGGGTTTCACCATGTTAGCCAGGGTGGTCTCAATCTCCTGACCTTATGATCTGCCTGCCTTGGTCTCCCAAAGTGCTAGGATTACAGGCGTGAGCCACCACACCTGACAGATACAGCCCAATTTTATTCCTAAACTACCTGGGTTAATCATTACCTTACTGACATGGTTTTATACAGCTCTCTGCATCTTCCAATCTTACATTTAAAATTTATGATAGAAATTGGCCAGCCACAGTGGCTCATGCCTGTAATCCCAGCAATTTGGGAGGCTGAGGGAAGTGGAACACTTCAGGTCAGAAGTTCGAGACCAGCCTGGTCAACATGGCAAAACCCTGTCTCTCCTAAAAATACAAAAATTAGGCCAGGCATGGTGGCTCATGCCTGTAATCCCAGCACTTTGGGAGGCGGAGGTGAGAAGATCATGAGGTCAGGGGATCAAGACCATCCTAGCCAACACGGTGAAATCCCGTCTCTACTTAAAAAAAAAAAAAAAAAAAAAAAAATCCAAAGTTAGCTGGGTGTGGTGGCACGCGCCTGTGGTCCCAGCTACTCGGGAGGCTGAGGCAGAAGAATCACTTGAACCCAGGAGGCAGAGGTTGCAGTGAGCCAAGATAGTGTCACTGCACTCCAGCCTGGCGACAGAGCAAGACTCCATCTCAAAAAAAAAACCCCTAGCTGGGCTGGTGGTGGGCACCTGTAATCCCAGTTTCTTGGGAGGCTGAAGCAGAAGAATCACTTGAACCCAGGAGGCCGAGGTTGCAGTGAGCCAAGTTTGTGCCATGGCACTCTAGCCTGGGTGAAAGCAAGACTCCATCTCAAAAAAAAAAATTATGATAGAAATAAAGGCAAGGAAAGCCTGGGACTCCATTTTACCCCCTATCCTCCTACTGCTTTAGAATTCTTTGCTCTAATATCATTAATGGGGAGAGAGGTTCTGTCTGAAGAACTCCAACCAAACATCCTACATTTCTTCTCAAACAGGATTTGGCTAATTCACAGTGCCTGGGTTTGAGGTGACTAAAGATCCTAGAATTGGTAGGCAGATAGGCAATCTTTTTGTAAAATGTTTTAGAGCTCAAACATATGACTGAGAGATTCTGTCAGCTGGGGATACAACCAGGATAAAAGCTTACCCTTAAATCACATACATAAGGAGGGAAAAGGCAGAACAGAGCAATTTCCTTTAAATCCCTCCTCTCACTGGTAGCAACTGGCATGAACAGTCTGTGACTTTCAGCACAATAAACATAAAATGGCCAAGGGTCAACCATGACCCATGAGTGCTCTTCTCCCAATAACATGATCAATTAAGGACATGCTGACTACACAGGCAGAAGGACGCTTACTGTCCTGTCTTCTTTCCAGTCACACACTTGCACTTTTTTTTTTCTGAGATGGAGTCTCACTCTATCGCCCAGGCTGGAGTGCAGCGGTGTGATCTCGGCTCACTGCAACCTCGGCCTCACGGGTTCAAGATATTCTCATGCCTTAAACCTCCTGAGTAGCTGGGACTAAAGGTGTGCACCACCACACCCGGCTAATTTTTGTACTTTTAGTAGAGACAGAGTTTTACTGTATTGGTCAGACTAGTCTTGAACTCCCGACCTTGTGATCCACCAGCCTTGGCCTCCCAAAGTGCTGGGATGACAGGTGTGAGCCACGGTGCCCAGCCTCACTCTTGCACTTTCTATCAACTTCAAGACAAGTTTCATCATATTTTCTTTAGTCCCCCTTGGCATTAGTGAGCTATCAAACTAGTAAAAATGCACTTTTTTTTTTTTTTGAGATGGAGTCTCGCTCTGTTGTCCAGGGTGGAGTACAGTGGCACCATCTTGGCTCACTGCAACCTCCGCCTCCCGGGTTCAAGTGATTCTCCTAACTCAGCCTCCCGAGTAGATGGGATTACAGGTGCCTACCACCACGCCTGGCTAATTTTTCTATTTTTAGTAGAGACGGGGGTTTCACCATCTTGGCCAGGATGGTCTCGAACTCCTGACCTTGTGATCCACCTGCCTCAGCCTCCCAAAGTGCTGGGATACAGGCGTGAGCTAGCACACCCAGCCATAACAATGTATTTTACAAGGCAATTACATGAAATAAAAGACTGTGGATACTGAAGCATAAATAGTCTGGAAAGCCCAAAATAAAGCATCATAAATTTACCAGGTTTCCCTGTAATATGTCATATCCAACAGTTTCCTTTTCAACTCAGTTCAAATTCAGTATGCAAACACCAAAGACCACCTAATGAAAAATGGCCTGAGCCACCTGACAGGTATTGAACTTAAGGCTGCCCACGACAGCACCTGGAGTAGGAGAGGAATTCAAAGAGGAAGCTAGACTGGAGACATGTGAGAGTACATCAGCAGCATTATTGAGGGTGAGATGGAGGCTTTAAATAGAGGGAAAGGATGGGTGTGGGAAGGAAATGTTAAAAATCAGTGCAAAAATAAGCTGGAGTCAGCTCAATGGAGCTGATGGAGGATGAAAAGACACTTATGTAGCAAATGATGCTGGAAAATGTAAGGGATGAAATAGGGGAAAACTGCTTAGAAAAGAGATGATCTGGATGTTCCAGAACTTTCTCCAGAGACACTACCATAATTCCTTCTTGCCCATCTGTAGGTTTAGCACAGTAGCTTTGAGGGTACCTTCTAACTTACCCCCAAATCTCTTCTCTCTGTTCACTGTTTTTTTTTTTTCATTATAAAAGGCATGCTTTGGAGTGGCTATGAATAAACAGACCAATTAGCTTTTCCTGTAGAGAATTTTTCCTACATTAATCCTTACTTAATTTTCACAGGTATCCCAGATGTTGAGAGAAGCAGCATTATGTTCATATGTCAGGCTCCTTTCCACCCGACCAAAACTTACCATGCTCTGTATTCTCAAAGTCCTAGCATATTCATCAGCTGGCATAGGCTGCAAATTAGCATAAAACTGCATTTCCTTCCAAGCTTGATGAGCCTGAAGTTTTCTTCCGAAAGGAGTAAGACTTCTGCCTGACAAAATAGAAGCCAGTGCTGCACACCCCTGAGTCTTCGTTCTCTCTTACTTGACTATTCTTGGCCCAGACAGGCTGGAATTTGCCTTAATAGCAGGGATCACCAGAGCAAGTCCCCATGGACCTGCCTATAGGTATACCCTTTGAGTAGAGAAACACCATTTCCAAGATCTTCATGACCTGATGAATAGGGTCTTTTAAACTTAAGTAAAGAAGTACTTATGGCCTCAACGTAGGCAATTCAAATCCACATTCAGTAATCAATCTGGGTTTTTTGGTCAATTTGTACAGACACTAAAAAAACAACAACAAAGAAAACATCTTAAACTTTAAAGCAGATGGCCCCTAGTTTTCTCCTTTAGTTTTGTTTGAATGAATAACCTGGGGATCTGAATATTATCAACCACATCTGGAAGTGTGTGTGCATGCACGTATGTATTTGTATGTGTGGAGGGGTACAGCCAGGAAACTGAGTTTCATGTTATATTCCTTATAAGGTAACCTGAAAGATATTAAGGGGGGAGAGGAATAAATAAAACAAGTAATTTGCACTTTTAAAGGGGTACAATAAAACAGGATTTAAAATAAATTTAATATGCTAAATACTGATGGGTAATAGCCTTCTAAATCAATGGAGAAATAAATCAGACTTTATTCTTATGTATGCTGGTAGAATCAGCAACTGCAGCATTGAAACAAATCTCTTAAGCTGGGTACAATAGCACACACCTGTAGTCCCAGCTACTTGGGAGGCTGAAGTGGGAGGAAGGCTTGAGCCCAGGAGTTTGAGTCCAGGCTGGGCAAGGTAGCAAGAGCCTATCTCTAAAAAAATAAAAATAAAAATAAATAAATAAATAAAATAAGCCTTTTAATAGTCTGGATCACATAGAAGATTATCTAAGATTATGATGGACTGTACATTAATGTCTTAAAGGACCCCCCTGCCAAAATCACCCTATTAAAAATCACACTCAGGTTTCTACCCTTGGGGTTTAGAAATTTACTTCTAATGCTTTAAAAACTCATTTTACTTCCTTTATCCTCTGATTTTTTGGGGGGAGAGAGGTTACTTCTTCTTCGACTGTAAGTCGAATTAAATTCCTCCCTTAGTTCTAGTGCCCAGGCTGAGCAGAGACACTAAACCCCCTACTTCCTCTCAATGTTCTCTTTCAGCTGCCTCAATGGTTCACCTGGCTACATTCATACTTCATTCAGAAGTCTGGAGCAGGGCCAGGTGCCGTGGCTCACGCCTGTAATGCCAGCATTTTGGAAGGCTGAGGCAGGTGGATCATTTGAGGTCAGGAGTTCAAGACCAGCCTGGCCAAAATGGTGAAGCCTCATCTCTACTAAAAATACAAAAATCAGCCGGCTAATAGTGCTGCGTGCCTCTAATCCCAACTACTTGGGAGGCTGAGGCAGGCGAATCACTTGAGCCTGGGAGGTGGAAGTCGCTGCGAGCCAAGATCAAGCCACTGCACTCCAGTCTGGGCTACAGAGAGACCCTGTCTCAAAAAAAAAAAAAAAAAAAAAAGACTGGAGCAGAAAAGAGAGATGACTGACAGGTTCTTGGAAGGTTCTGGCCCTTTGGGGTGCCAACATATAATCCATTAACACTGACATACAGTTTACAGCTGTTATAATGCCATTCTTGTATTCCTGAAAGGCTGAAATGGGGAAAAAGAGAGAAACAGACTGGCTAGAATACACAGCTCCTCTGGTAGCATTCCAGCTAAAACAAAACCACCTCACAGACATAGGTCAGAGATGCCACTGATCACTCCTAGATTTCAGTAAATATCTAGTAACTAATCATTAATGTCTGAACTTCAGTGGTGGGGACTTTCAGGCTTGGTTTTGTGACTTATCATTCCACTCTTTCCTAATAATACATCTCTCTCTTTCCTTATTAAGTTGGAGTCTGACAGAAGGAAAAATGTGTAGGGTGGAATATTGGGCATATCATGCAAATTATCATATATCAGAAGATATAATAGAAACCAAAAGGCAACATCTGTTTTCATCAAAATAGTCAATTTCTTCTCATAACTTTTCTTGCTTTTGTGATAGTTTCCTTCCAGATTGGCAAAGATTCAGGCAGGGTCCCCTAATGGTAAAATTTAGAATTAAAAAAATATTTATTGATATCTGTTTAAAAAATGTTTGGTAATCCCAACTAATCATTCAAAATGCAAACTGTAAACACGACAAGAGTAACAATTGAGTGAGTAAGCAGACTGAACAGGTGACAGACTGAGCAAGAGTGCGGGAGGGAGCAACAGAGAACAGAAGACACATGCACAAATGTGCTACAGACAGTGATAATTTGAGTGTGTAAGAATTATATTTGGACCACAGTGATTTCAATGCAACCATTTAGGAAACCTCTGGGCCAAATACTAAAACACAGGAGGAATGGACGAGCCTTCTTTGTGAGCATGCTCAGCATGTTGGCATGGAAACAAGGAAGCACAGAAGCTCTGTAGTCACAATGAATGTCTACCATTTCTAAGATGCAAAGAAATTTTCTTTCTGGTCCCTGGGTACATCATATATTGTCTTTCCATGCTTTTCTTGACCCTGGAGGACTGCAGATGCAGACGCAGATGTTCCAAAATCCCCAAAGAAACCCCTAGACAAAAATTTTAAAACCACAGTAGCAATAACACTGGGTTTGCTGGAATGCCCCTCCCTCTATCTTGGCCTATGATTTTCTTCTGGGCACCTCAACAGGAATGGTTAAGTTTTACCAATCATTTGAAAAAGCCATCACAAACTTCAGTCCCATGGTCACAGAGCTAGAGTGGATAGGGGTGAGTGTGTTTATGTGTATGTATGTGTGGCTCTGGGGATCTGGACACTGCCCCCGCTCACTTTGTAACCCTTGCCCAGAACACTGGGGTCGCTTCCACTGGAGAGACTCCACCGTAGTTCTAGAAGTGTCATTAAATACTCAGTTCACCAAAGTTGACCACCTCCATTGTCATAGGATGATGCAGCATCTGCAGAAGCGCTGTCTGCTGCCCCCTACTGATGGGGGTGGAGTGACAGGTGCGAAGTAGGCGTGGACTTTAATATTGGGTAAATGGGTCTGAAACAAGACAAGAAACATTAAACATTTAAGAGAGAGGGCTTAAACAGAAAGAGCAATGTTGCTTTTCAAAAAATCTACCAAGGGGCTCAATGAACATGAAAGCAGGGCAAAGGCTAAGCATTGGTCAAGATGTTAGAAGGCCTGGGTTCTACTTTGTTCCATCCTAGGTTATTCTAAATGACCAGAACAACTCATATAACTTTGGTACCTGCTTGTGTAATAATGCAACTGAGGAAAGACATCATACTAATTTCTTATCTTCTCCAAAAAAGGATTTCCAGTTGTATTCCCATAGCTGAAAGAAGCTACTTGAGTTTTTGGTTGTGGTGTTTTTTTGTTTGTTTGTTTTTTTGAGACAGAGTCTCATTCTATTGCCCAGGCTGGAGTGCAGTGCTGCAATCTTGGCTCACTGAAACCTCTGCCTCCTGGGCTTAAGTGACCTGCCTCAGTCTCCAAGTAGCTGGGACTACAGGTACACTCTACCAGGCTAATTTTTGTATTATTAGTAGAGAGGGGGTTTCACCATGCTGGCCAGGCTGGTCTCAAACTCCTGACCTCAACTGATCCACTCATCTTAGCCTCCCAAGTGCTGGGATTACAGGCACGAGCCACCGTGCCTGGCTAGCTACATTATAGTTTAAAATAATTTTTTTCCAAGTCATTTTGGACAATGATTTTTTTTCCTGATATTAAAAAAACTCTCACTATTCTCTTGTAACAACATGTCTAAATTAGTATTTCTGAATTCCTACTATATTCAAGGCAATTCGATAGTTAAGTGAGGGAGTAAGAGATGGTCAAGATGGGAATTCTGTTCTTGGGCATATATAGTCTAGATATGTACATAAATACTCACACCTATTGTCCCAGCACTTTGGGAGGCCGAGGTGGGTGGACTGCTTGAGCCCAGAAGCAATAGCATATTAAAGTGGAAAGGTGCTTGCTAAGTGACTTCAAGAACAGATAACAGATCTATCTCCTGAGGGTTGAGAGACAGAAGAGATTCCTGACAGCCAGGCAATCTAGGAACCCTAATATAAGCAGGCCACATAAGACGCTCTAGTTGACCTGTGGCTCTTATTCTCTTTGGTGTAGAAAAAATATGGTTGCAAGTCCTCCCTCAGTGCAATTATGCTCACAGTCCTCTATGTGTGAAGAGCGGAAGAGGAACTTAGACCAACTGGAACTCAAGGTAAGGTCTGGTACTCTTATTTGCTCAAGGCCATATGGCCAACATGGATTTTTCAAAGGTGTTTTTTGTTTTTGCTTTTGTTTTTGTGACAGAGTCTCGCTCTGTCACCCAGGCTAGACGATCTCGGCTCACTGCAACTTCTCCCTCCCAGGTTCAAATGATTCTCCTGCCTCAGCCTCCCAAGTAGCTGGGACTACAGGCATGTGCTACCACACCTGGCTAATTTTTCTATTTTTAGTAGACACAGGGTTTCACCATGTTGGCCAGGATGGTCTCCATCTCTTGACCTCATGATCTGCCTGCCTTGGCCTCCCAAAGTGCTGGGATTACAGAGGTGAGCCGTCGTACCCTGCCAGAGGTTGGTATTTTTTTTTTTTTAGATGGAGTTTCACTTTTGTTGCCCAGGCTGGAGTGCAATGGCATGATCTCGGCTCACTGCAGTCTCCGCCTCCTGGTTCAAGTGATTCTCCTTCTTCAGCCTCCTAAGCAGCTGAGATTACAGGCATTTACCACCACTCCCAGCTAATTTTTGTATTTTTAGTAGAGATGGGGTTTCACCATGTTAGCCAGGCTGGTCTTGCACTCCTGACCTCAGGTGATCCTCCCACCTCAGCCTGCCAAAGTGCTGGGATTACAGGCCTGAGCCACGGTGCCTCGCCTAGAAATTGGTATTAAGGGCCTAAATAGGCACACTGTCTTTCCTACAGCAGGTGTAAAGCAGATATTCCAGTAAATGTCTGTTGAGCAGAACAATCCCAACATACAGATTTTTCCAGCCTTTAAAAATTTCTTTTTCTGGTCGGGAGCAGTGGCTAATGTCTGTAATCCAAGTACTTTGGGAGGCTGAGGCAGTGGATCATTTGAGGTTAGTTGTTCAAGACCAGCCAGGCCAATATGGTGAAACCCTATCTCTACTAAAAATAACCAATTTAGCCAGGTGTGGTGGTGGGCACCTGTAATCCCAGCTACTCGGGAGGCTGAGGCAGGAGCATCGCTTGAATCCAGGAGGTAGAGGTTGCAGTGAGCTGAGATCATGCCACTGCACTCCAGCCTGGGCGACAGAGTGAGACTCATGGTGGATAGGGCCAAAAGAAAAGGTAAAAATCTGGGCATGGGATAGTGACTCACACCTGTAATCTGAGCACTTTGGGAGGCTCAGGTGGGAGGATCGCTTGAGGCCGCCAGAAGTTTGAGAGCAGCCTGCGCAACATAGCAAGACCTTGTCTCTACAAAATAGTTTTTTTTTTTTGTTTTTTTTTTTAGTCCAAACCTCACAATACATAATAGTTTTTTTAAGGCTAGGCATGGTGGCTCATACCTCTAATCCCAGCACTTTGGAAGGCCAAAGCAGGAAGATCACTTGAGCTCAGGAGTTTGAAACCATCCTGGGCAACGTGGTAAAATGGTCTCTCTACCAAAAATACAAAACATCAGGCTGGTGTGATAGCACACGCCTGTAGTTTCAGCAACTGGGAGGCTGAGGTGGCAGGATGGCTTGAGCCTGGGAGGCAGAGGTTGCAGGGAGCCAAGATCGAGCCACTGTACTCCAGCCTGGGTAACAGAGAAGACCCTGTCTTAAAACAAGAAAAAAAAAAAACAAGGTTTTCAAAAAATTAGCTAGGTATAGTGGTGTGTCTGTAGTCCTAGCTACTGGGGAGGCTGAGGCAGGAGGATCATTTGAGCTGAGGAGTTCAAGGCTGCAGTGTGCTAAGAAGGTGTCACTGTACTCCTGCCTGAGCAACAGAGTGAGACCTCATCTCTTAAAAGAAAAGAAAGACACAAAAGGTAAAAATCTGTCTACTTTACTTATTGTCTTAAAAAATATGAACTCCAGGAAAAGGGTTTAATGTGAAACACAGATACAAATTAAATTCTTAAATCCCATTTAACCAAACACTTTCTCTGTTATTCCTTTCTGTCCTTTAGAACAAAAATGTGGCATGTGCTTTTTCTTTCTTTTTTTCAATCTGGGAAAGTTATTAAGCCCTAGACATTATCAGAGAGACTCTGCTGGGTAGAGACCTACTTTTCTTCCCTTCAGTGGGTCTTTTCCTACTAAATTTCCATCTCTGGAACCACAGGAAAAAACTATCTGCCCTTAGGTTTGCACTCTATTTTTTGCCTTGTTAGATGTTCAAGTAAATATAAAAATCATACAAATCTAAATTTGAAGAAAAAAAAAAAAAGAGAGATAAGAAAGTGCTGAGAACACTAGAGCTGGAGAGTTATATAGCCATTTTTACCCTGAGTCTCTTGATTCCAGCCCGTGTGATTTGCTGGCAGTCATACAGTTCTATCCGCTCAAGGCTGTGACAGCTTTTCAAGTGCTCCAGGGATGCATCTGTGATTAGTGGGCAGTTGTCCAGCTCAATCACCTCCAGCTGGTCATGGGCACAGGCCCCATTTCCCAGGTGACGAATTCCATCATCTGTGATCAGCTCACAGTGAGACAGACTCTGCAGCCAAACAGAGCAAGGAAGAATGTTGAAATATCTTCCGGCATTCCTCTACCAGAGGCTTGTATAAAATTGGAAAGGAGACGTTTTGGTTTGATTTTGATGAATACGGAGCCAGCACTACATCCACATGGTGAAATTAAGAAAACTGGAGATAGCGGGGTTATGCTTTTGGAAATCAGTGATTGTGATATTTTGGTGTGTGACTCTAAATACATTTAATAAATAAATGTAATGACTATGAACTAGTTCATAAAGTAAGACAGTCTCAAAAATTACCCCTTCCTCAAATTACACTTTTCTTCTCTACAGGGACAAATGTGAATCAAGTTTTTCATTCATACTGTTTTCTGGAATTTGAACTAAATAACTCAATATCTGGTTCAGGGACATGCCCCAACAATTAATTAGCTGAAGATTTTTACAGCTGTCAGGTGTGATCATCTCATCACATCATCTCTTCATCAATATTTATTAAATCCCTGGTTCAGGGAAACTCAGAAACCTTGACCCAATTCTGGATAGCACTGTGCCACCAAACACCAAAATGAGCCTGGATACAGAACAGTCACCCAGAATGCCTTCCTCATGCCCAGCCTTCCTGAAAATAGGAACAGAACTCCCCTTAGTTAAAGCTTTGATTTGTTCCATTCTTAAGACCAGTAACATTTGATCTCAAGGTGAAGCAAATTGTATTTTGGGCCATCTCATCCCCTGGATCTCTAGAAGTTTAAACATCATTCAGGCTGGAATATGTTATCTGCAAGAGAGAACTCATAGGTTTCATGGCAGTTTTCAGTCTTCAAGAATTGATATACAAGACATTTAACTTTTTCAGTTCTTATCTCAGTTTCCTACTTCACTCAGGTACTCCTTTGGTCCTCTGTAAGCTGGCAATTTAGGGAAGCATCCTTTCCTAAAATGGCAGCCAGACACCAAGAGATGGGTTTTTGAACTACAGTATTTGCTTTTGATTAAACCCAATAAACACCGAAAACTTTCAAAGTCAAAACTTACCAATACTTGAAGTCGAGGACAGTGTATAGAAAGTTGGATTAATGTGCTATCTGTTATCTGAAAGAAATACATATGCTGATTTTAGGTATAATCCAAATAAAATCCAGAGCCATACCTGATTCTTTTTTTTTTTAAGAAAGGGTCTTGCGCCAGACACAGTGGCTCAAGCCTGTAATGCCAGCACTTTGGGACGCTAAAGCAGGCGGATCACAAGGTCAGGAATTCAAAACGATCCTGACCAACATGGTGAAACCCCATCTCTACCAAAAATACAAAAATTAGCCAGGCAAGGTGGCGCATTCCTGTAATCTCAGCTACTCAGTAGGCTGGGTTAGGAGAATTGTTTGAATCTGGGAGGCGAAGGTTGCAGTGAGCCGAGATTGCACCACTGCACTCCAGCCTAGGCTACAGAGCGAGATTCTCTCAAACAAGATAAAAATAAAAATAAAAATAAAGGGTCATGCTCTGTTGCCCAGGCTAGAGTGCAGTGGCACAACTATAGCTTACTGCAGCCTAAGATTCCTGGGCTCAAGTAATCTTCCCATCTCAGCCCCCTGAATAGCTGGGACAACAAGTACAAGCCACATGACTAATTTTTTTAATTAGTACATATATATATATTTTTTGGTAGAGACAGGGTTTCACTATGTTGCCCAGGCTGCTCTCAAATTCCTGAGCTCAAGCAATCCCACCACCTCAACCTCCCAAAGCTCTAGGATTACAGACCAACATGAGTGATCACAACTCACTGCAGCCTCAACTTCTCAGGCTCAAGCTATCTTCCTGCCTCAGCCTCCTGAGTGGCTGTGACTACAGACGTACACCACGATGCCCGGGACTTTTAAAACTTTTCGGGTAGAAACAGGGTCTTGTTATGTTTCCCAGACTGGTCTTCAACTTTTGGGCTCAAACAATCCTCTTGCCTCACCTCACAACGTGTTGGGATCACAGGTGTGAGCCACTACACTCAGCAACCCTACACCTCATTCTTTTTTTTTTGAGACAGAGTCTTGCTCTGTTGCCCAGGATGGAGTGCAGTGGTGCGATCTCGGCTCACTGCAACCTCTCCCTCCCGGGTTCAAGCAATTCTCCTGCCTCAGCCTCCCAAGTAGCTGGGACTACAGGCGTGTGCCACCATGCTCAGCTAATTTTTCTATTTTTAGTAGAGACAGGGGTTTCACCATGTTGGCCAGGATGGTCTCCACCTGTTAACCTTGTGATCCACCCACCTTGGCCTCCCAAAGTGCTGGTATTACAGGTGTGAGTCACTGCCCCTGGCATTTTTTTTTTTTTGAGGTAAGAGTCTCACTGTTGCCCAGATTGGAGTGCAGTGGTGCAATCTTAGCTCACTGCAACCTCTGCCTCCTGGGTTCAAGCAATTCTCCTGCCTCAGCCTGCCAGGTAGCTGAGATTACAGGCATGTGTGTCTTACCATGCCCAGCTAATTTTTCTATTTTTAGTAGAGATGAGGTTTCACCATATTGGCCAAGCTGATCTCGAACTTCTGACCTCAGGTGATCAACCTGCCTCAGTCTCCCAAAGTGCTAGGATTACAGGGGTAAGCCACCGTGCCTGATGTATTTTTTTTTTTTTGAAGATGGGGTTTCACCATATCGGTCAGGCTGGTCTCAAACTCCTGATCTCAGGTGATCCGCCTACCTCAGCCTCCCAAAGTGCTGAAATTACAGGCATGAGCCACCGCACCCGGCTGCCTGATGTATTTTTAGTAGAGATGGGGTTTGCCACGTTAGCCAGGCTGGTCTCGAATTCCTGGCCGCAGGTGATCCACCAGCCTCAGACTCCCAAAGTGCTCGGATTACAGGTATGAGCCACCATGCCCAGTCCCCCTGCCTCATTCTTGACTACATTTCTAGTCCAGGCATTTTAATAATCAATCATCAAATAACAGAATCTTGCGGTTTAAATTCCACTGGCTACCAGAACATGTTCTATGAGAATCCACTCAGGCTACATTTGAATACATCTAGTCATCTCTAGTCTTCATCTTTGGACAGCTCTATTCAAAATGTGTTTTATTTTTTTTCCCCAGTGTGACTGTGTGGATTGTTTTTTAAATGAATCAAAATCTTGGTAGCTAGATGTGGTGATTTGCACCTAACATCCCAACTGCTTGGGAAGTTGAGGCAAGAGGACTGCTTGAGATTAGAAATTCAAGACCAGTCTGAGTGGGGCCAGACACAGAGGTTCATGCCTGTAATCCCAGCACTTTGGGAGGCCGAGGCCAGTGGATCACCTGAGGTCAGGAGTTCATGACCTGCCCGGACAACATGTTGAAACCCTGTCTCTACTAAAAAACAAAAACTAGCCGAGCATGGTGGCAGGCACCTGTAATCCCAGCTACTTGGGAGGCTAAGATAGGAGAACTGCTCAAACCTGAGAGGCTCTACTCACTGGACTTTGCTCTATCTCTTTAGAATCACCAGAGAAAGGAATCATAAGATAGTGCTCTATGAAAATAAATGTTGGAACATGCTCAAATTTTTTTTTTTTTTTTTTTTTTTTGAGATGGAGTCTTGCTTTGTTGCCCAGGCTGGAGTGCAATGGCACAGTTTTGGCTCACTGCAACCTCCACCTCTGAGGTTTAAGCTATTCTTCTTCCTTAGCCTCTTGAGTAACTGGGATTACAGACATGCGCCACCACGCCTGGATAATTTTTCCATTTTTAGTAGAGATGGGTTTCACCATGTTGGCCAGGGTGGTCTTGAACTCCTGATTTCGTGATCTGCCTGCCTTGGCCTCCCCCAAAGGGCTGGGAGTATGGGCATGAGCCACTGTGCCTGGCCCATCCTAAAATTTTTAATAAAGCATGCCACAACTCAGGATTAATAACTTGGGTTATTTTCCCAAAGGTGGAAGGCAGGCACTGCTGGAATCTGGATTAACTATGAACATTCAGGTAGGAAGAACAGTTTTCATAGTTATGTTAGGACTGAAAGTAAATCAGCACTTCTTTTCGCATTCTTCTCCAACTCTGAGTTTATTATTTTCTACTATACATAGCTTCACGGGGGCTAAAAAATGGTAGAGAAAGCGGGTGGGCAAGCAGGCAGGCATGTCCATTTAGAAGGACTAACAGTGAAAGGGACATAGAGGACACTCAGGCATGTATAAGACATAAATGGATGTAAACAAGTTTTAGTTTAGTAAGAACTTATAGCTGTTAAGTAGTGCCACACAAGAAATAATTTTTTTTTAAGTGGCTTTTCAGTTACTGACGTATCTCCCTTTCTTTATTTTTACCATTAAAAAATTAATTGCTCTTTCTTTTTTGGAGTCCCGTCTTTAAAGTTTTTCCCTGGTCAATTAATAATCTCAAAAGTTCTTAAAATCGGTAATAAAAACTGCTAATGTGGCTCACAGCTGTCATCTCAGCACTCTAAGAGGCTGAGGCAAGTGGATCACCTGAGGTCAGGAGTTCAAAACCAGCCCGGCCAACATGATGAAACCCCATCTCTATTAAGAATACAAAAAATCAGCCAGGCATGGTGGCACATGCCTGTAATCCCAGCTACTTGGGAGGCCGAGGCAGAAGAACTGCCTGAAGCTGGGAGGTGAAGGTTGCAGTGAGTTGGGATCGTGCCACTGCACTCCAGCGTGGGCAACAAGAGTAAAACTCTGTCTCAAAAATAAAAAATAAAAACTGTTAATAAGGAGATCAGTTTGCCCTAAGGGCATATAGTTCTATGTAGAGTCAGGTCTCCAGGGCTAATGATGACAGGGATATAGGATACAGTAAAGTTAAAGAAAGGCAGTGCTATATAGATCCAGGTGATGGGGCTTTAATTATTTACTAGTATCATAACTCTATAGGTCTAAGGAAATATTTTTAATGGCTTTATGACCTGAGTGCTTAGGCCTCCTTTTTCTTTAATGGCAACCTGATTGATGACATGTATTTTCACAGTTCTGTGACACATACCATGAGCACCTCTGCCTGGAAGATGTCTTATTTAATAGAGAATCAGCAATGCTGTCAGGTACTATAGAGTCCTACACTAGGGCAGAGAACTGGACATTCTGATGTCATGTATTATCTAAGTGTCTATCATACTGTATTTCTGAATTAAAATCTATAATCTTACCTGAACACACTCTTCCAGGTCCATCTTTTCAAGTTCATGGCAATTCTACAAAGTACAAAACCAAATATTATAGTAGAAACATTTAAAATATGAGAAAACTTTAAGGCCAGAAAACTAACAGGTAATATTATATATACTGATGAATTCTTTTTTTCTTTTCTTTCTTTTTTTTTTTTTTTGAGGCGGAGTTTTTGCTCTTGTTACCCAGGCTGGAGTGCAATGACGCGATCTCAGCTCACCGCAACCTCCACCTCCTGGGTTCAGGCAATTCTCCTGCCTCAGCCTCCTGAGTAGCTGGGATTATAGGCACGCGCCACCATGCCCAGCTAATTTTTTTGTATTTTTAGGAGAGACGGGGTTTCACCATGTTGACCAGAATGGTCTCAATCTGTTGACCTCGTGATCCACCCGCCTCGGCCTCCCAAAGTGCTGGGATTACAAGCGTGAGCCACCATGCCTGGCAAATTCTTTTTTTTTTTTTTTTTTTCCTTTTTGGGACGGAGTTTCGCTTGTTGCCCAGGCTAGAGTGCAATGGTGCAATCTCGGCTCACTGCAACCTCTGCCTTCTAAGTTCAAGCAATTCTCCTGTGCCTCTGGAGTAACTGGGATTATAGGCATGCACCACCACGCCCAGCTAATTTTGTATTTTTAGTAGAGATGGGGGCAGGGCAAGGTGGCTCACGCCTGTAAGCCTAGCACTTTGGGAGGCTGAGGTGGGTGGATCACAAGGTCAGGAGTTTGAGACCAGCCTGACCAACATGGTGAAACCCTGTCTCTACTAAAAATACAAAAATGAGCTAGGCATGATGGTGCATGCCTGTAATCCCAACTACTCAGGAGGCTGAGACAGGAAAACTGCTTGAACCCAGAAAGTGGAGGTTGCAGTGAGCAGAGATGGCACCACTACACTCCAGCCTGGGCAACAGAGTAAGACTCCAACTCGGGGGAAAAAAAAAAATAACGCTGGGTTCAGTGGCTCATACCTGTAATCCTAGCACTTTGGGAGGCCAAGACAGATGGATCACAGGGTCAGGAGTTCAAGACCAGCCTGGCCAAAATGGTGAAACCCTTGTTTGAACTCAGAGGTTTGACTTAAAAAAAAAAAAAACAAAAACTGAGATGGATTTTATCCATGTTGGTCAGGCTGGTATCAAACTCCCGATCTCAGGTTATCAGCCCGCCTTGGCCTGCAAAAGTACTGGGATAACAGGCATGAGCCATTGTGCCCAGCATTGATGAATTATTTAGTGTTTCAGAGCTGGTGTCATGCTAATTTTTTTTTCTTTTTTTTTTTGAGACATGGTCTCACTCGGTCACCCAGGCTGGAGAGCAATGGCGCAGTCTTGGCTCACTGCAACCACCACCTCTCGGTTGATTCTCCTGCCTCAGCCTCCTGAGTAGGTGGTATTACAGGTGCACGCCACCATGCCTGGCTAATTTTTATATTTTTAGTAGCAACAGGGTTTCACCATGTTGGTAAGGCTTGTCTCAATGTCCTGACCTTGTGATCCGCCCACCCTGGCCTCCATGCCCGGCCAACATGGTGACACCCTATTCTCTACTTAAAATACAAAAATTAGTCGGGCATGGTGGTGTGCGCCTGTGTAATCCCAGCTACTTGGAAGGCTGAGATGGAAGAATCGCTGGAACCTGGGAGGTGGAGGCTGCAGTGAGCCAAGATTGCGCCACTGCACTCCAGCCTGGGCAACAGAGCAAGATTCTATCTCAAAAAATAAAAATAAAACCAGACATGTGGTTTTCAATGTTATTTTCATCCACTAGTCATATGCCAAAATAACCAAGTAAGTTTCTTTCACAAAGTACCAAGAAGCACGGGCTTAATTTATCTTATGAAATTGTGGAGAATCAAGTCTCACAGGCTGGGTACAGTGGCTCACGTCTGTAATCTCAGTACTTTGGGAGGCTGAGGTGGCCGGATCACTTAAGGTCAGGAGTTCAAGTCCAGCCTGACCAACATGGTAAAACCCTGTCTCTACTAAAAATACAAAATTTAGCTGGACGTAGTGGTGCACACTTGTAATCCCAGCTACTCGAGAGACTAAGGCAGGAGAATTACTTGAATCTGCAAGGCAGAGGTTCCAGTGAGTCGAGATTGTACCACTACACTCCAGCCTAAGTGACAGAGCAAGAGCCTATCCTAAAAAAATTTTTAAATAAAAAAAAAAAAAGCCTCATGAAGAGGTCATATTCTCCAATGCACGTGTGCATTTCTAGAGCAGTTTGTATTCTTACTGGTATCAATAGGTCTGTAGCTATAGCACGAAACCCTGTTTCACACCCTCAATTCTGCTACCATTTTCACATTTCCCTTGCTGCTTGTTCTTCTAAAATAAAAAACCCTAACAAAACCTATGGAAACAAACCTATGGAACATAAAGAAAATACTTACCCTGGCTAGAGTGGTAAAGCCCACATCTGTTAATTGAGAACATCTTGCCACTTCCAATATTCTGTGATTTAAAAAAAAAAAAAAAAAAGTGAAAGTCAAGCTCTTGGTCCCTGAAAACTAAGTTTATTAAAACAGTGAATGTAAGCAAACAATTTCCTATTTTCGAAGAAATTTATAATACAGAATGACATTAACAACTAAGCAAGTCTCTATACAGATCTTGCCATTCATTTTCATGAAGTCATCATAAAGTCCTGCAAATACCACATTTCAGGGTGGTGCAATTAACAAACACAGAAGAATATAACTGAAGCTTGTAGTTAATGCCAAAATGCATGAAATGCATTAAAAGCCTTCTTGATGGCATACTGCTTACCCCCAGAGGGCAGCCTGCTCCTAGAAAACAAAGGAAATGGAGATAAATACTCTATTTCGGTTAATCTCTTGCTGAAGTGAATTATTTTCTTTCTCTGTTTTAAGTAGGTTCACTTAGATTTAAATTGCTTTTAAAAAAACGTGACAAAGGGACTGCTTAATTACAGGTCTGTCCCAAATATGAAATTCTTAACTGCTTCCTCCCACAGGCTCCCAGAGAGGCCCAGTAGAAAGGGAAGCTGAGCTGGCAGTCATTCACCCTCTTATTAAGCAACTCCAACCTAAATATCAACCACAGGATTGGGGAATCAAAAGTAGCTCTCTTCTGTGAAAAGTTGGGTGACCTCTGTATAATGGTAACAAAGACATGTTTGCTTATGAAACTCTTAAGTTGCAAAAAATAAAAGCTAAAGTATACGAAATAATTAACAACTGGAAAAATCAATGAGAAATAAATGATGGCCAGATATGGTGGCTCACACCTATAATCCCAGCACTTCGGGAGACTGAGGCAGAGGGATCACTTGAGCTCAGGAGTTCAAGACCAGCCTGGGCAACGTATCAAGACCTCATCTCTATAAAAAATTTTTAAAATCCTGGCTGGGCGCGGGGACTCATGCCTGTAATCCCTGCACTCTGGGAGACCGAGGTGGGTAAGGAGAGGCAAGGAGATAAGAAGATCAGCCTGGCCAACATGGTGAAACCCTGTCTCTACTAAAATTACAAAAATGAGCCAGCTGTGATGGTGTGCACCTGTAGTCGCAGCTACTCGGGAGGCTAAGGCAGAATTGCTTGAACCCAGGAGGCAGAGGTTGTAGTGAGCCGAGATTGCACCACTGCACTCCACCCTGGGTGACAGAATGAGACTCTGTCTCAAAAAAAAAAAAAAAAATTAAATTCTGGCCAGGTGCCATGGCTCACACCTATAATCCCTGCACTTTGGAAGGCCAAGGCAGGTGGATCAGTTGAGGTCAGGAGTTTGAGGGACCAGCCTAGCCAACATGGTGAAACCCCATCTCTACTAAAAATAAAAAAAATTAGCCGGGCATGGTGGTGTGCCCCTGCAGTCCCAGCTACTTGGGAGGTTGAGGCAAGAGAATCACTTAAACCCAGAAGGTGGAGGCTGAGTGAACCAAGGTCGAATCACTGCACTCCAGCCTGGGCAACAGAGCAAGACACTGTCTCAAAAAAAATTTTTTTTTTTAATTCCAAGAGAGTGAGGAGACTCATGCCTATAATCTCAGCACTTTGGGAGGGCAGATCACCTGAGGCCAGGAGTTTGAGACCAGTCTGGTCAATATCGAAAAACCCAATCTCTACCAAAAATACAAAAAAAAAAATTAGCCTTTTTTTTTTCCATTGGTGGTGCCTGCCTGGAATCCTGGCTACTCCAGAGTCTGAGGCACGAAAATCACTTGAACCTGGGAGGAGCAGGTTACAGTGAGCCAAGATTGTGCTACTGTACTCCAGCCTGGGCAACAAAGCTAGACTCTGTCTCAAAAAAATAAAAATAAAAAATAAGAGACTTCACAGTTGCAGTGGGGAAGAAATAACTTTAAATTTTTTTTTAGGAAAGAAAGAAATGAATGTTACCTAATGGGAAAACATGATCTGACTAAAACACAACTTTTGATTTTCACAGTTGAGAGCTTTTCCATTCTAACAATGTAATGAACTATTTAGGAAGATGGAGCTGAAGACTCTTCTCTCTAAAGTCTTAAAGAATAATGTGTAAGATTCTCAGCGAGGTTTGACTACCTCCCTAGCTCCTGAGGAATACTTTACTCTAGGCTTTTGATATTACTAATTTTAATCATCAAGTCTATGTTCTCTTAAGAAATTTCGATACTGTAGGCAAACGTTCTTTTTTTTTTGAGATGGAGTTTCGCTCGTTACCCAGGCTGGAGTGCAATGGCGCGATCTCGGCTCACCGCAACCTCCGCCTCCTGGGTTCAGGCAATTCTCCAGCCTTAGCCTGCCGAGTAGCTGGGATTACAGGCACGTGACACCATGCCCAGCTAATTTTTTTTTTGTATTTTTAGTAGAGACGGGGTTTCACCATGTTGACCAGGATGGTCTCGATCTCTTGACCTCGTGATCCACCCGCCACGGCCTCCCAAAGTGCTGGGATTACAGGCGTGAGCCACCGTGCCCGGCCCATATTTGTATTTTTTTTTGAGACGGAGTTTCGCTGTTGTTACCCAGACTGGAGTGCAATGGCACAATCTCAGCTCACGGCAACCTCCGCCTCCTGGGTTCAAACAATTCTCCTGCCTCAACCTTCCGAGTAGCTGGGACTACAGGCGTGCACCACCATGCCCAGCTAATTTCTGTATTTTTAGTACAGACGGGGTTTCAACTTGTTGACCAGGATGGTCTTGATCTCTTGACCTCATGATCCACCCGCCTCGGCCTCCCACCATATTTGTATTTTTAATAGAGATGAGGTTTCACCATGTTGGCCAGGCTAGTCTCAAGCTCCTGACCTCAGGTGATCCCCCTGCCTCGGCCTCCCACTGTTATGGGATTACAGTTGTGAGCCACTGTGCCTGGCTGCAAAAGTTCTTTCAACCATTCTTGTTAATCATCAGAAAAAAGTTTTCTGAAAGTTGTATAGCTTTACAATGATTGTTACATGTAAGAAAAGTGGCTTCATAGCCTCAGGAGCCAGAGTGCCTGGGTTGCATACTTGCTCCTACACTAACTAGCTGAGACCTTGAACAGGTTACTTTGCCTCTTTGTGCTTCAGTTTTCTCATCTATAAAATGGAGATAACAGTACTTATATGGTGCTATGGAGGTTAAACAAATTATTAGTGTTATTGAGAAAGGTAATTGCTCTGTTGCCCAGGCTAGAGTGCAGCAGTGTGATCTCAGCTCACTGCAGCCTTGACCTCCTGGGCTCAAGTGATCCTCTCACTTTAGCCTCCTGAGTAGCTGAGATACAAGGCACACACCACCATTCCTGGCTAATTTTTGTATTTTTTGTAGAGACAGGGATTCGCCACGCAGCCCATGCCAGTCTCAAACTCCTGGGCTCAAATGATCTTCTAGCCCAGGCCTCCTTAAGTGCTGGGATTACAGGTGTGTGCCATTGCATCTGGCCCTGAATTGGTATTTGTAAAGCACGTAAAGCCACACCTAATTTACAAGTACTATGTAAGTTTATTTTAGAGAACAAAATGTGTAGCCAGGTGTAGTAGCACATGCCTTTAGTCCCAGCTACTCCTGAGGCTAAGATCAGAGGATCACTTGAACCCAGGAGATTGAGGCAGGCCTATGCAACACTGCCTCAAAAGACAGTAACAGATTGGGCACCATGGCTCTCGCCTGTAATCTCAGCACTTTGGGAAGCTGAGGCAGGAGAATTCACTGGAAGCCAAGAGTTTGAGACCAGCCTGAGCAACGAAGCCTGACCCCATCTCTACAAAAAGTAAAAATCACAGCATTCTTCAAACTGAGAAGAAGCCAGAGAGAAATAAGGCTGTTTTAAAAGCCTATCAGTATGAAAGAGGTATTCCTGTAAGAATGTTTTGTATTTTTTTATTTTTGAGACAGAGTTTCGCTTTTGTTACCTAGGCTGGAGTGCAATGGCATGATCTCGGCTCACCGCAACCTCTGCCTCCTGGGTTCAGGCAATTCTCCTGCCTCAGCCTCCTGAGTAGCTGGGATTACAGGCACGCGTCACCATGCCCAGCTAATTTTTTGTATTTTTAGTAGAGACAGGGTTTCAACATGTTGACCAGGATGGTCTCGATCTCTTGACCTCGTGATTCACCCGCCTCGGCCTTCCAAAGTGCTGGGATTACAGGCATGAGCCACCACACCCGGCATGTTTTTTATTTTTAAATATAGTATCCCCTGCTATGTACATGATATCACTACTATGACATAAATGACCTCAGGGTGGACCTTTAAAAACTACTTAAGAATTATATAACTCCATCAAGACAGCTGAAGGTGCGCAATAAAAGAGAAAGAAAGAAAGAAAAAAAAAAGAATTACATAAAAGCACTAATAAGAGTAAATACCCTTCTTTCTATCTCAAGTAATAAAATAAAATGTTGTTTTTTTTCTAGTATGGATAGCAAGTAGTAGAATTTGGGGACTATTAGCCCTTGATTTACGCCAATTACATGTTATCAAATGAGGTACAAAAAGCAAGTAGGTGGGCATCTAAAAGGGACTACCTAAAAATTTTAAAGTGTCTGTAGTGTCTACCTTAAAATTCCAAACTTTCAAGGAAGAAGTATGGGTGAAGGAAGCTTTTGTTCTGTAATTTTTTTTTTTTATTTTTTTTTGCTAAATAAGAAATGTTTACCTAAGTCGTGGGCAGTTCTGACCTAGAGCATTCAGGATGGCATCTGTGATGTTGGAGCAGCCAGAGGCACAAAGGGATTGTAACTTATGGCACCCTCTGCATATAGTAATGAGACCTTCATCCGTGATTTGCTAAAAACAAAAGCAAAAAAATATTAGTATCTTAGCAAAAGAAAAGAAGAAAAAAGATAGCTCTGTGAAAATAATCACCAAAAAGGAAATCAAGAAATACTTAACATTCATCAGATAGCAGACCTAAAAGAAAACGAACACACTTTGTTGCTGCCTTCCAGTTCCTTCTGATTTAGTCTGCAAGAGGATCTGTGCTCAGCTTTGGTGCAAAGGGAAGAAACTATAACAGGATCTGTTAAAAGCTACAATAGGATTCTAATGGGACTGGGATCAGCATGGAGCGTGTCATAGTTTAGGTTCAATTAAATAACTTTATTTATTTATTTTTGGAGACACAGTCTCGCTCTATCGCCCAGGCTGAAGTGCACTGGTGCAATCTTGCCTCACAGCAACCTCTACCTCCCAGATTCAAGCAATTCTCATGCCCCAGCCTCCTGAGTAGCTGGGACTACAGGTACACATAACCATTGGCAGCAAAACTTTTTTGTGTGTGTGTTTTTAGTAGAGAGAGGGTTTTGCCATGTGGGCCAGCCTGGTTTCAAACTCCTGGCCTCAAGTAATCCACTGCCTCGGTCTCCCAAAGTAGTAGGTTTATAAGCTTAAGCCACCATGCCTGGCCTCAAATAATTTTAAAACCTAAAAAACAGATAAGGATATAAGTAATTTAGACGTATAAATATAATATACAAGTTCAAATTGACACCAGTAAGTTAGTGAAAAAAATTAAACTGTGGATGACACTTGCAATCTTGTATCAGCCACAGCATTCATTTTCTTCCATCTTTTATTTTTATGTTATTATTTTTTATTTTTTGCTACTGAGTTTCACTCTTGTTGCCCAGGCTGGAGTGCAATGGCACCATCTCAGCTCACCACAACCTCCACTCCCTGGTTCAATGGACTATCCTGCCTCAGCCTCCAGAGTAGCTGGGATTATAGGCATGTGCCACCACACCTGGCTAATTTTCTATTTTTAGTAGATAGAGATGGGGTTTCCTCTTGTTGGTCAGGATAGTCTTGAACTCCTGACCTCAGGTAATCCATCTGGCTTCGGCCTCCCAAAGTGCTGAGATTACAGGCGTGAGCCACCATGCCTGGCCCTATATTTCAGTTTTATAATATAAAGAACATCCTAATTTATGGAAATAAATAGTTGTGTCTAACTCAGACACACTTTTATACTTTTTACAAGGCTGGGTGCAGTGGCTCAGGCCTATAATCCCAGCACTCTGGGAGGCTGAGGCAGGTGGATCACAAGGCCAGGAGTTGGAGACCAGCCTGGCCAACATGGTGAAACCCTGTCTCTACTAAAACTACAAAATTTAGCCCCGTGTTGTGGTACATGCCTGTAATCTCAGCTCTCACATGGCTGACACAGGAGAATCACTTGACCCCAGGAGGTGGATATTTGCACCACTGCACTCCACCGGGTGACAGAGCAAGACAAGGAAAAAAAAAAAAAAAATGGAAGGGAGGAAGGAAAGAAAAAAGGAAGGATGGGAAAGAAAGAGAAAGAAAAAAGGGAGGAGAGGAAGGGAGAAGAGGAGGGGAGGGGAGGGGAAAGAAGGGGAGGAGAGAGAAGGCAGGAAGGCAGGAAGGCAGGAAGGCAGGAAGGCAGGAAGGCAGGAAGGCAGGAAGGCAGGAAGGCAGGAAGGCAGGAAGGCAGGAAGGCAGGAAGGAAGGAAGGAAGGAAGGGAGGGAGGGAGGGAGGGAGGGAGGAAGGGAGGGAGGGAGGGAGGGGTAAGGGAGGGAAAAGAAGGAAAGGGAGGGAGGGAAGGAGGGAGAAAGGGAGGAAGATAGGTAGGTATGTTAGTTACTGGGCCTGAATGCAGTTGCTCAAGCCTGTAATTTCAGCACTTTAAGAGGCCAAGGCGGGTGTATCATGAGGTGAGGAGTATGAGACTAGCCTGGCCAAGACAGTGAAAGCCCATCTCTACTAAAAATACAAAAATTAGCCAAGCGTGGTTGCAGGCACCTGTAATCCCAGCTACTCAGGATGATGAGGCAGAAAAATCAACTGAACCCGGGAGATGGAGATTGCAGTGAGCTGAGACTGTGCCACTGCACTCTAGCCTGGATGACAGAGCAAAACTCTGTCTTTAAAAAAAAAAAAGAAAAGAAAGTTATTGGCCACATGTGGTGACTCACACCTGTAATTCCAGCAATTTGGGATGCCAAGGCAGGTGGATTGCCTGAGCTCAGAAGTTCCAGAACAGCTTGGGCAATGCGGTGAAACTCTATCTCTATTAAAATAATTTTTTATAAATATATAACAATTAAAAATTATTCTAAATTATCTTGCTTTAAATTAATTTCAAATGAAAAAGAATATACATTCAAAGATGTTACATATATACTTTTAAAATTCTTATAAGTTATTTTATTTCTTCTATGATGATTTAGAGGGACTATCTTTAAACCAGTACAAATATCTCTTTTTTCTTTCGAGACAGAGTCTTGCTCTGTCGCCCAGGCTGGAGTGCAGTGGCCCAATCTCAGCTCCCTACCACCTCCACTTCCTGGGTTCAAGTGATTCTCCTGCCTCAGCCTCCTGAGTAGCTGGGATTATAGGGGCATGCCACCACGCCCAGCAAATTTTTGTGTTTTTAGTAGAGACAGGGTTTCACCATGTTGCTCAGGATGGTCTCAATCTCCTTGACCTTGTGATCCGCCCGCCTCTGCCTCCCAAAGTACTGGGATTACAGGCATGAGCCACCGCGCCCAGCCCCAGTACAAATATTTTATAAGTAATATCTGGCTGTTTTCTAACCAACTGAGTAATCTGTTGCACAATAAGCCACCTCACATCAAAGATGTTATATTTTTAAAAATATTACAGGCACACATGCCTGCAGTCTCAGCTACCCAGGAGGCTGAGGTGGGATGACTGTTTTAGCCCAGGAGTTCAAGGCCAGTCTGGGCAATATAGTAAGACTATCCTCCCCACCCAACTCCCTTTAAGAAAAAAAAAAAAAGAGGGGGGGGAAGTTACATATAAACATCTTAACATGGTAGATACTATCAGCACTTCAATTTATCCTCTTGATTAACTAATTTTGTATAGGTCTAAAAATAAAAGCTCTCTTGCCGTATCTGTTTAATCAAGTCGTGTCCATAAGTTACAAGGACAACTGAAAAAACAAAATCCCACAAGTTTTAATATCACTGCTTAAATCAGCACGTTTTCAATATCATACAACTGAAACAAATACAGATAAAAAAAAATTGGATGCTGGCTGGGTGCAGTGGCTCACACCCATAATCCCAGCACTTTGGAAGGCCAAGGCAGGTGGATCACCTGAGGTCAGGAGTTGGAGACCAGCCTGGCCAACATGGAGAAACCCCGTTTCTACTAAAAATACAAAATTATCAGGGCGTGGTGGCACATGCCTGTAATCTCAGCTACTCAGGAGGCTGAGGCAGAAGAATCACTTGAACCCTGAAGGTGGAGGTTGCAGTGAGCTGAGATCACACCACTGCACTCTAGCCTGGGCAACAGAGCAAGACTTTGTCTCAAAAAAAAAAAAAAAAATTGTATGCTAAGGCAGATACTCATAAGGTTCAAGTAATGAGGTATTAGGGAGGCAGCTAAAAACATGCCACATAAATATGATGTATTGTCTTTAGACTATGATAGCCAAGATGTAAAAAGGGAAGTAAGAATCAATAAACATGCCAATTTAGCAGGCCAAAGATACTTGTGCCACACAATATTAGAAAAGTACTGTAGGGATGTGCTGCCCTTTCCTTTGCATGTTATAAGAGAGTACTGAAGAAGAAACACGAGTAAAGTGGGCTGTGTGTGGTGGCTCACGCCAGAGATAGCAGTGCACTGAGATCGTGTCACTGAACTTTAGCCTGGGTGACAGAGCAAGACACTGTCTCAAAAAAAAAAAAGAAAAAAAAAGTAAAGTCATACTGCCAATACATTAAAAAATTGTAGGCCAGGAGTGGTGGCTCCTGCCTGTATTTTCTTTTTCTTTCCTTCTTCTTCTTTTTTATTTCATGAATTTCTCCTCAAAAAGGCTCCTGCCTATAATTCTAGCACTTTAGGAGGTTGAAGCAGGCAGATCACCTGAGGTCAGGAGTCCAAGACTAGCCTGGCTACCATGGGGAAAGCACGTTTCTACTAAAGATACAAAAAATTTAGCCAGGTGTGGTGGCGCATGACTATAAATCCTAGCTACTCAGGAGGCTGAGGCAGGAGAACGGCTTGAACTTGGGAGGCAGAGGTTGCAGTGAGACGAGATCACGCCATCGCCATTACACTCCAGCTTGGGCAACAAGAGCAAAACTCCGTCTCGGAAAAAAAAAAAAAGAAAAACACTGGACACAGTGGCTCACATCTGTAATCCCAGCACTTTGGGAGGCCGAGGTGGGCAGATCACCTGAGATCAGGAGTACAAAGACCAGTCTGACCAACATGGAGAAACCCTGTTTCTAATAAAAATACAAAATTAGCTGGGCATGGTGGCACATGTCTGTAATGCCAGCTACTCGGGAGGCTGAGGCAGGAGAATTGCTTGAACCCAGGAGGCAGAGGTTGCAATGGGCTGGGATCGCGCCATTACACTCCAGCCTGGGCAAGAAGAGCAAAACTGTCTCAAAAAAAAAAAATTGTAAAATGCACTAAACTTTTATGTTTTCCAATCTTTGAAGAAAATCAAAGAATCAAGAATGTACTTTAATCATCTCAACAATTTTGGGCAGAGCATGAACTCTCATGAATGCTGACAATCATTTTATCACCCTGCAGGTAAAAAATGACTCCTGGCCTGGCGCAGTGGCTCACGCCTGTAATCCCATCACTTTGGGAGGCCAAGGCAGGTGGATCACAAGGTCAAGAGATTGAGACCATCCTGGCCAACATGGTGAAACCTTGTCTTAAAAAAAAAAAGAGACTCCTGTACTAAGATTTGGGCGAAGGAAAACAATAAAATACACATAAGGTAGAATTGGTTTTTTATGTTTACTGTGATTCCTACCTGCTGGAAGGATGAAGAAACATCAAACCTAATCTGCAAATGGTATGTATTTATGTGTATGTAATGTATGTAGTACATATGCAAATATGTGCACATATATATGTGTAATAACATACACACACTTTTTTTTTTTTTTGAGACGGTGTCTCATTCTGTTGCCTAGGCTGAAGTGCACTGGCATAATCTCAACTCACTGCAACCTCTGCCTCCCAGGCTCAAGTGATTCTCCTGTGTCAGACTCCTGAGTAGCTGAAATTACAGGTGTACATCACCACATTTGACTTTTTTTTTTTTTTTTTTTAGTAGAGTTGGGGTTTCACTATGCTGGCCAGGTTAGTCTCAAACTCACTCCTGACCTCAGGTGATTCACCTGCCTTGGCCTCTCAAAGTCCTGAGATTACAGGAGTGAACCACTACACCTGACACACACACATTTGAAGCTCTACAGGAATAGTTTTTCTTTAGCATCATAAGATGATGATTTCATGTTAATAATTGTGGTTGATCTCTCAGAGTATAAACGTTTCTGTTTTTTGTTTTTTTTTTTTTTTTTTTTTTTTTTTTTTGAGTTTGGCTCTGTTACCCGGGATGGAGTGCAATGGTGCAATCTCAGCTCACTGCAATCTCCACCTCCTGGGTTCAAGCGATTCTCCTGCCTCAGCACCCCCAAGTAGCTGGGATTACAGGTATGTGCCACCACACCTGGCTAATTTTGTATTTTTAGTAGAGACAGGGTTTCTCCATTTTGGTCAGGCTGGTCTTGAATTCCCAACCTCAGGCGATGTGCTCTCCTCCCAAAGTGCTAGGATTATAGGTGTGAGTCACTGCGCCCAGCCAGCTTGATTGCAATTTTAAATATTAAATTTGTCAATTATTTACATTTTAAAAGTAGACAGTTTAAGTACATAAGAAAGGAGTGGAGCTACAGTTAGCTCATATAGAATTCTGCATAAGCTAGCTACCTCCTATCGTATCTATGTCAAGGCCCCTAGGAATGGTATTGTTAAGCATGTCAAGAGTCATCTGTGTGTCTACTGTGTCACCAGGGTTGTGGTAGAAAAACAATACTGGTCTTGATAACTGAAGCTCTTAAAATAGTTTTACTGAAATGAATTACTAAAACAGAAGAGTTGTCAGATGGGATGTTTACCAGGCAAGTCTGCAAATTCAGAGTCACCAGTTCAGGACAGTGTGCACCTATATACTTGAGAGCTTCATCTTCTAGCTAGAAAGATTAAAAAGAAAACGATTATTATTGACATTGTTTCAAAGAATGTACATACATTCATACATTCAAAATGCAGCCAACCAAGTTTCGAAGAAACAATAAATCAGAAAACAATAAACTATGATTACATAACGGTATAATTCATATTATGATTCTCAACATTTTAAAATTCAGTTTTGACACCACATTAAAATTCATATTATCAAATCAAGAAGATGAAGTAAACACTGCCTAATTTTTATGGGTTTTACTTCTGATAAAATATACCTGACAGTATTTTGCTGAGGGCCCATGAAGCAAAAATAATTTTCAAACTTCTACACAACTCTTCTAAGGTTTTTTATAAACAAACTTTGAGAAGAAACAGCCAAGAAAGGAATCCAGTGTTCATCTCCCACTAGAAGATAGGTGCCATGCTTATAGTGTTGAGAACAGATGGTAAGGAACTGATTATAATGATACATTCCTATCAATATTTTTCAGGATTCCATAAATAACCAGAAGCTCAAGCTGCTATTGTAAAGCAGTCATACATTTGAGGTTCTCTTTCAAACAATGGAACCCCTCTCATTATGATAAAAGAATGAGGGCATTTTTAATGGAACAAGTTATGGTTTTAGTAACCATTAATAAAATAAAGTAAAGCCTAGCCTTAGTTTGTCAGCCACAGTTTAAATCCACTCATTACATTCCAGATGCTAACTAGTCCATTCTATTTTTCACTATAAAACACTGATAGTAAAAATTTATTTTTGTTTTTGAGATGGAGTCTTGCCCTGTTGCTAGGCTGGAGTGCAGTAGTGTGATCTCGGCTCACTGCAATCTCTGCCTCCGGGTTCAAGCGATTCTCCTCGGTCAGCCTCCCAAGTAGCTGGGATTACAGGCACGTGCCACCACAACCAGCTAATTTTTTTATTTTTAGTAGAGACAATTTCACCATGTTGGCCTCAATCTCCTGAACTCATGATCCGCCTGCCTCAGCCTCCCAAAATGCTGGTATTAGAGGCATGAACCACCTCACCTGGCCTAATTTTTTTTTGTTTTTGAGACCAGCTCTCACTCTGTCACCAGGCTGGAGTGCAGTGGCACGATCCTGGCTCACTGCAACCTCTGACTCCTGGGTTCAAGCAATTCTCCTGCCTCAGCCTCCTGAGCAGCTGGGACTACAAGCGTGCGCCACCACTAATTTTTATATTTTTAATAGAGACAGGAAATTCACCATGTTGGCCATGATGGTCTCGATCTCTTGACCTCAGGTGATCCACCCATCTCGGCCTCCCAAAGTGCTGGGATTACAGGCATGAGCCACTTCGCCTGGCCGAGATAGTAAAATTTTTAATCACAAAATATGTTGGATTTGTAATGTGACTGGCAGAAAATAAGTATCAATACTATAAAAATGCAGGTTGCTATACACTTGGCATATTTAAGAAACACTAGTGGTTATAAAAACAAGTGGAAGTTGCTAAGTCTGCCTTCTTTGCCTATCCAGTTCAAAGTATCAGGCAGTGACAACATAGCAAATTTTCTTTTCAGCACAATTTAAACTGTATGAAACTCTTCTTGACCATGGTGTATCTTTAATATAATCTTCCCACCTTGTCTCCCTCCTCCTCAAATTTATTTTTGGTCAGACATTAATTCTTCTCATTCTTTTATCATAAGGAAAACACTAAGTTTTGGTAAGCATGTGTCTTTGGTCAGTAATACATACAACTAACCTTTCCCTCAAGACAAACATCTTAGGGCTGCCTACAAAGAGCTCATGGTTCTTCTGAATTTCACAGACCCTACATGGAGTATTACCTGCGTGCAGCCTTTTAAGAATAAGGCCTTGAGACCCCCACAGCCTCTCACTAATGCTTGAATGCCATCCTTGGTTACTTGGTCACACCAGGAAATGTTCAACTGCTCCAACAGTGGACATCCCTCACTTAGGATGAAACAAAATGAGAGAAACATATCACTAAATCCAATTTCAAAGGCACCAACATCTCAATTTATTGGCTATTTAGTAAAGGAAATGAAAACATTCCCATTCTTTCCCACAAGAAGAAACCTATTTACCTAATGTATATTTAGAAAAAAAGCTAATTTATCAATGTGGTATTCACATGGGACTCCATCATTAGCAGGGTCATCTCAAATCCAGCTTAATGAACAAAAACAAAGCATTATATTGTTTTTCAGATTTATATTCCTTTTGTACTTATCACATATCTCAAAGATCTCTAGACAGAAAATGGAAATTCAATGATTTATTCTAGTTTACAGAGTAATTAATGAAGAGCTCAGATTCAAAACCAATTCTCCATCGAGCAACACTATTACCAGTTGAGTATCCCTTATCTTAAAGGCTTGGTGGCCAGGAGAGGTGGCTCACGCCTGTAATCCCAGCACTTTGGGAGGTGGAGGAGGGAGGATCACGAGGTCAGGAGTTCGAGACCAGCCTGACTAACACAGTGAAACCCCATCTCTACTAAAAATACAAAAATTAGCCGCGCGTGGTGGTGGTCGCCTATAATCCCAGCTACTCAGGAGGCTGAGGCAGGAGTATCGCTTGAACCTGGGAGGTGGAGGTTGCAGTGAGCTGACATTTCGACACTGCACTCCAGCCTGGGTGACAGAGCAAGACTCCATCTCAAAAAAAAAAAAAGGCTTGGTACCAGAAGCGTTTTAGATTTCAGATTTTGCAATATTTGTATTATACTTACATAGTTGAGTATCCCATATCTGAAAATCTGAAGTGCCCCAATAAACATTTCCTTTGAGTGTCACATCGATACTCAAAAAGCTTAAGATTTTCAAGCATTTCAGATTTTGGGTTTTTCTTTTCTTTTTCTTTTTTTCTGAGACAGAGTCTTGCTCTGTCACCCAGGCTGCAGTGCAGTAGCAGCAATATCAGGGCTCACTGCAGCTGTGACCTCCAGGGCTCAAGTGATCCTCCCGCTTCAGTCACTCAAGTAGCACCCAGTTGCATTTTGGATTTTTGAAATAGGGATATTCAACTCACAGTACCAGAATAATAATGAAGCCTTTTAAACTTTTATTTTAAAAAATTACAAATGCCTTGTATATTTCCTTATCTGAAATGTTTCTAGAGTACTGCTTTTGTAGGCTGAATTTAGGGTATCTTATGTCCAATCTCTGCCTTCAAAATATTAGTTTCATTGTTGATCCCATCTCTTCTCATCAGTTATTCATATTTGGATTATGAACGAATTCCAAGTTTTCTCTAATATTCTTTGGAAAACACTCCATAAATTGTTTGAAATATTCCTGCCTGCCAAAAAGACCTAGAAGATAAAGCCAGGATATCCAGGTTAAAGTTCATTCTCCAGTATTAATAGCTTAATTTCAGCCAAGTGACTTTAGGAAGCCTGTCTGAACCTCTCTAAGATTAGCCCCACAGCTCTGTTTTCCCAAAACTGATGTATTCATCCCTATCATAGCATTTATTCCACAGTAACAGTTGACTGTGAGCAACTTAAGGGCAGCAATATCTTACTCAGTTACATCTCATGGTTGCATCACAGTACCCGGCAGTCAACAACTTTCTAGAATTTCTTATCTGTAAAATGCCCATCCAATCTACTTCACAAGGCTTTTAAATAAATAATTTATGTGAAAATATTTTATAAATGATAAAAGTTGTTTTATTATCAAATTTATTATCCTACAGAGCAAACCATCTTAGATATATATGTTCAGTATTCATAAGGAAGGTCGAAAAGGAGCCACATTTTAGATTATTTATACTCTAGTTAACTAAATTTTCTTTTTTCTTGAGATAAGGTCTCATTCTATTGCCCAGCCTGTGGTGCAGTGGCACGATTACAGCTCACTGGAGCCTCAACCTGCTGGGTTCAAGTGATCCTCTTGCCACAGTCCCCTGAACAGCTGGGATTTTTACAGGGATATGCCACCATGCCTGGCTGATTTTTTTTTTTTTTTTAATAGAGACAGGGTTTCACCATGTTGCCCAGGCTGGGCTTGAACTCCTGGGCTCAAGCGATCCTCCTACCCTGGCCTCCCAAAGTGCTGAGATTACAAGCCACCATGTCTGGCCTCAGGGACTCTTTTTAAAGCACTTTATATACATTAGATTGAGCCACATGTACCTGTCATTCTTATAACATGTGAACTGTCAAATACTGGCAAAATTTTATATGGCGTTGCCTAATATCTTGTTAAACCTTAATAAAATGTTATGAGATGATTAAGAAAAAGCTCAGAAAGGTTAGTTATGTTTGCTTAAAGGTCATGTTTAGTAATCTGGCTCCAGATGCCTATTTTAAGCACGAGGCTATAACACGTGCCTTCTTTTCTTTTTCTTTTTTTTTTTTTTGAGATGGAGTCTCCTGCTTATAGCCATTACTGGTATATAGTGGGGGGAAAAAAAAAAAGTCTTGCTCTGCTGCCTAGGCTGGAGTGCAGTGGCACGATCTTGGCTCATGAGTTCAAGTGATTCTCCTGCCTTAGCCTCCCGAGTAGCTGGGACTACAGGCATGTGCCACCATGCCCAGCTAACTTTTGTATTTTTAGTAGAGATAGGGCTTCACCAGATTGGCCAGGATGATCTCAATCTCTTGACCACATGATCCACCCACCTCGGCCTCCCAAAGTGCTGGGATTACAGGTGTGAGTCATCACAGGTGCCCAGCCTCTTTTCTTTTTGAAAATAAGACTTCAAAAAAAAATTTTTTTAATGAAAAACAGAAAAAAAAAATAATAAAAAAAGAAAATACTTCGTAAAAATCTAATCATTCATGTATAAACTGTACTACCCTGTTCAGAAATCCTAGTTACCTCTAATCATTTCACTTTAATATCCCACAATTGTAATTTGGGCAAGTGGTGAAAGAAAATATCTACTCTGAACTACAGAATATATCCATAAAACAGAGTTGCCTTCAATTCCAACTTTATATCAGTTATTTGTTTAAAATACGTATTTTTTCTGATTACTGGAGATACTTATTATAAAAAATTTACCTCAGAGCTTTAAGAGACATGTTTGTTATTGATGTACAGGAAGCCAAGTCAAGGTGCCTGAGTTTGGAACAGAACTTGCTAAGGCTAGTACATGTACTGAAAATGGAAAAAGGAGAAAATAATGAATAAACAAGACAAGTACACATCCTTGGTATATCAGACACTGTTCTCCTTAAACAAATGTGTATATATAAGAATTGTAAAATTTTCACACCCCTAAAAAAGCAGTTTTATATCCTAAGACCCTTCACATTGAGGAAGAGACAGATACCATTCACAAAGAAGAAACGCTGTGCTGCGTATGAAAATTTGCATGAGGGGAAGACTGTGGTTGATTCACATTTCGAAATGTTAACAGCAATTAACAGTGTGATACTTAAGTGAGTTCTAAGAGATCTATATGCATTTTGCAAATCCGAAAAACCAGAAAGCTAATGGCTATCTGCTAGCATGTAGTCAAACATGAAGAAGAAAAGCTCTGCATGTTTTTTCACTTAAATCCCTACTCAAGATAATCGTTTGCATAACAATAATGTAGGAACTGGATTTTTGCAAGGTATACAAAGGATGGATGATGAACTGGTACTGGCCTGAAAAAAGTAAGTTATGCATTAAAGACTTTTTTTCTGGTGGTCAAGTTCTCATTTTAATTTTTAACAAATCATGAGAAACTTCAAATATAAACAAGAGTAAATAATACAGAGAACCCACATGTACCATCAGTAAACTTCAACGTTTCTCAATACTCTTTTTTTTTTTTCTTTTTGAGACAGTCTTGATCTGTTGCCCAGGTTGGAGAGCAGTGATGCAGTCTTGGCTCACTGCAACCCCCACCTCCCAGGTTCAAGCGATTCTGCCTCAGCCTCCTGAGTAGCTGGGACCACAAACACGTGCTACCATACCCAGCTAATTTTTCATATTTTTAGTAGAGACAGGTCTGGTCTCAAACTCCATATTTTAGCCAGGCTGGTCTCAAACTCCTGGCCTCAAGTAATCCACCCACCTTGGCCTCCCAAACTGCTGGGATTATAAATGTGAGCCACTGCGCCTGGCCCAACATTTATCAATATTCTACTATTAAATATTTTTATTTATTGGGAGGCTGAGATGGGTAGATTGCCTGAGGTCAGGAGTTCTAGACCAGCCTGACCAAGGTGGTGAAACCCCGTCGCTACTAAAAATACAAAATTAGCTAGATGTGCATGCCTGTAATCCCAGCTACTTGGGAGGCTGAGGCAGAAGAACAGCTTGAGCCCAGGAGGTGGAGGTTGCAGTGAGCCAAGACTGCACCACTGCATTCCAGCCTGGGCAACAAGAGCAAAATTCCACCTCAAAAAAAAAATTTATTCCATCTCTTCTTCCCCACTTTTTTATTCCAGTATTGTAAAGCCAATTCCAGACATATCACTTTACCTGTAAATATTTCAGTATCTATTTCTAATAGGTAAGTACTTAATAGGTAGATTCCTTAATATCATATGATACTTAATGTGTTAATTTTCTCCAATTATATCATACATGTTTTTGACAAGTTGATCTGTTCAAATTAGAATCCAAATAGAAATCACACTTTCTCTTTGGTTGATATGTCTCTTAGATCTTTATGTGGGCCAATGTTTTCGTTTCTTTTTTCTTTTTTTGTTAGAGACAGGATCTCACTCTGTCACTCTGGCTGGAATGCAGTGGCACAATCATAGCTCAATGTAACCTCCAACTCATGGGCTCAAGCAATCTCCCACCTCAACCTCCTGAGTAGCAAGGACTACAGATACGTGCCACCACACCTAATTCTTATAGAGACAGGGTCTCACTATGATGCCCAGACTAATCTTGAATTTCTGGCTTCAAGTGATCCTCTTGCCTTGGCCTTCAAAGTGTTGGGACTACAAGCATGAGCCACCACACTTGGCCTTATTTTATTGTTGATTGGCATTTCCATTCTTTTTGAAAATATATAAATATGGAGATATATATAGTCTTCTGGCCCTACAAAAGGTATATTATACAAACTCCTCTGTAGTTTGCTTTCATCATTTAACAATATCTCCTGAAAAATCACTCCTGAATATTATATAAAGATTTTCCTCATTAGTTTTATTCAACCTGTTGTCTACTGATAGACGCTGGGTAGTTTCCTATCTTTTGCTATTACAAGTAATATAGTAGCCTTGCACATATGTATTATGTTTTCACCAATGCATCTTGGGATAAAATAGATTCTGACAAAAAAGCATTAATTACATTTCACTTTTCTAGATACCAAGTGATCAAATTTTTAATCTTTATAACACTAAGTACTCAAAAGAAGCAAAAATTAAAAGATAACTTATCTAAAGTACATGTAGTGCTACTGGTATAAAGTAATGATGGGGAAAGAGGTGAGTATATTTCATTTCTTACAGTAAAGGTTTCTAAATCAATCCATAGAAATACTTATTAGTAGAGTCAGTAGATAACTACCTTCTACTACCTTCTGTGTCTAATTTCTGTGACTGTAAGCCTCTTAAGGATGAAGAAATATGCTTAATTTCCTTTAGATCATGACCAAAGCAGACTCAGCACATTTAGTAAATCATTTTCATTTAATAACTGCTCTCAGGACTGAGTATCATAAGCTGTTTAGTCCTGTGTTTAAGATTTTAATCTTTAGATATAATTATGTTTATTGTGACTTTTAATTGATATCTACTAGCATCTTGAAATATAAATATGGCTAATGTAGGAAGGCCTAAAAAAAAAAATATATATATATATATATATATAAATAATCCCAGTAATGTGTATTATTAGTATACCTACTGTATCCCTACTGCATATACATTGACTACAATTATTAAAAGTTTCACCTTAAATATCAAAGATAGAATTCCAAAGTAAGTTTCTTATTTCATTTCTACTTTGATGTTGCTTTCTCTTTTAAAAATCTTTCCTCTACAAAACCAAGATAAAACTTGCCAGATAGTTAGCGCCCTGAATTTAAAGCTAGTATCAGCCAGACATAAGGGGCTATGACTTACCCTCCTAAAATAAAATACTTACGCATCTGTTGTCTTTGTACACCCATTTAGATTCAGTACTTCAATGTTCCTGCAGTTTTGTGCAAAGGTTCTTTGTAGGAAAGAAAGTAAAAGGTTTCAAATGAAATGGGCAAAATTTCAGTCATTAAAAAATAAAACATATTATTGGTAATATTGGTTGTTGATACCTGTGATACTGTGATATAAGGGAAAAACACATATTTGGTCTTCATCCTTGGTTCTTGGCATACAGTCACTAAAATCCTTGTAGTTTCCTGAGTGATAGTATCTTTTGTTATAGATTGGTGAAAAGTAACCATGATTACTTTTGCACCAACCTAATATATTTGGTCTTCAATCATGTCTACAATCAAGGAATCTCTGTTAAAACCCCTAAATAATAGGGATCAGAGAGCTTCTGGGTTTTGAAAGTAACCATATGCCATGAGGGCAGTACACCTCAACTCCAAGGGGACAGAAGCTCCTGTGCTTGGGAACCTTCTAGACCCTGCGTTATACACTTCTTCATATTCCTTCTACCTCAGCCTCCCTAAATGCTGGGATTACAGATGCGAGCCACTGAGCCTGGCCATGATGGTTTTTTTTTTTTTTGAGACAGAGTCTCCCTCTGTCACCCAGGCTAGAGTACAATGGTGTGATCTCAGCTCACTGCAGCCACTGCCTCCCAGGTTCAAGTGATTCTACTGCTTCAGCCTCCCAAGTAGCTGGGATTACAGGTAAGCACTATTATGCCCAACTAAGTTTTTGTATTTTTAGTAGAGACAGGGTTTCACATGTTGGTCAGGCTGGTCTTGAACTCCTGACCTCAAGTGACCCACACACATCGGCCTCCCAAAGTGCTGGGATTCCAGGCTTGGGCCATCGGACCTGGCTTAAATTAATTTTCATAATTCTTCAAACCTAACTTTAAAAATTATTTTAAATTTAAAATAAATTAAATGGTTGCTTATTTATTTATTTTTAGAGAAAAGGTCTTCCCCTCTGTCACTCAAGCTATAGTACAGTAGCACAATCACAGCTCACTGTAGCCTCAACCTCCCAGGCTCAAGTGATCCTCCAACCTCAGTCTCCCAAGTAGCTGGGTTTACAGGCATATGTCACATAACCTGGCTAATTAAAAAAAGTTTTTTGTAGAGATTGAGGCCTTGCCATGCTGCCTAGATTGATCTTATACTCCTGGACTCAAGTAATCCTCCCACCTAGTCTCCCAAAGTACTGGGGCCACTGCTCAGGTTAGGGTTAACCCATAACGCTAAACAATGATCTTTGTGTCAGCCTAAATTAACATTATCTTATCTTTTGATTAAATGAAAGTTTTTACAAAAAGAACTAGGCTGGTGCTGTGGCTCACGCCTATAATTCCAGAACTTTGGGAGGCTGAGGCAAAAGGACTGCTTGAGTGCAAGAGTTTGAAACCAGCTTGGACAACAAAATGAGACCGTCTCTATAAAAAATTTTTAAAAATTAGCCAGCCGTTGTGGTACATGTCTTTAGTCACAGATACTCAGGAGGGGGAGGACTGTTTCAGTTTAGGAGTTCAAGGTTGCAGTGAGCCATGATCACGCCAGAGCACTCCAGCCTGGGTAACAGTGCAAGACTTTGTCTCAAAACATAAAGTACATATAATTAATTAACTTTAAAAAAGCTTTTCAAAGGTCCAAAAGAACCACTTATGATGGGGAATCTGTGTGGGGTTTTTTCAGGCAGTACTTTGTTCTTGTTTATTGTTAAAACTACATTTCCTATTACTGGGTATTTTCAGTATGTGTGGTTGCATTTTTATAGCTTAGGAATTTTAAAACTATTTTAGCCTTTTCTGGGTGAGATAGTACTGTTCTTTACTTCCATCAAGAAGATTAGTCAACTGCTATGTTTTTACCTTAATGCATTGTCTCCCACTCCAAGACATCCACGAAGACTTAACTTTCGTAAAAAGCCTCCACATCGTTTTGAAATATTCTCCACTACCCGGCCCTATAAAAACAGACAGGCAAACAAAAAGATAACCCACCTCGTTACTTTTGAAAAGAACACGTCCTCGTTTTTAACAATTTATAAGCAAAGAGAAAATGCTTCCATTATGACCTAATTAATTTAAAAGGAAAATTGTAACTTACCCTAAGAAAGCTTTCTCGATTAACCCATATCACTTGAATCATGCCTAAACCCTATAGTCTTATTTTGTTCAACTTGTAGAATACATTCTGTATTTGAGAAAACGATCTTCTATAGTTCTCTATGGCACTATATGCATATATACTGCCCAGGTGGGTTAAGCCACAGCTACTAAAGGACAACAACTACATTTATTTATTTTTTTTATCTTTCCCAAAATGTGTACTATAGTACTCTGTTTAAGGCAGGGACTTAATGAACATTTAACAGGTTAAATGCTAACAAAAAATTTAACAAAAGCTGTCCAGGTGCAGTGGCTCCCACCTGTAATCCCAGCACTTTGAGAGGCTGAGGTGGGCAAAATATTTGAGGTCAGGTTTTCAAGACAGGCTTGGCCAACATGGCAAAACATGGCAAAACCCGATCTCTACTAAAAACACAAAAATTAGCCAGGCATGGTGGTGCACACACCTGTAGTCCCAGTGTCTCTAGAGGCTGAGGCATGAGAATTGCCTGAACCCGGGACGTGGAGGTTGCAGAGCCAAGACCACACCACTGCACTCCAGCCTGGGTGACAAAATGAGATTCCATCTCAAAAACAACAACAACAACAAAAAAAACCCAAAAGCTTGCTGAATAATTTGTGGGGTTGCTTTAAATATTTATATCCATGAAGGTTATAGAATTGTGAAAAACAAAATCCAGTATACTGCTAGTGGGTATTATTTTAAAAGCACTTTCTAAAGATAATGGAAGGTTCACGTCAGGCATTAAAAACCTTCTTCCATGGATTCAAGAAAATTTATTTCTGTTGGAGCTTAAAAAAAATCTTTTTTTTTTTTTTTTAGATGAAGTTTCGCTCTGTTGCCCAGGCTGGAGTGCAGTGGCGTAATCTCAGCTCACTGCAACCTCTGCCTCCTGGGTTCAAGCGATTCTCCTGTCTCAGTCTCCCGAGTAGCTGGGATTACAAGCATGTGCTGCCATGCCCGGCTAATTTTGTATTTTTAGTAGAGATGGTGTTTCACCATGTTGGCCATGGTTGGTCTTGAACTTCTGACCTCAAGTGATATACCCACCTCTGCCTCCCAAAGTGCTAGGATTACAAGCATGAGCCATCCTGTGTAGCCTCAAAAAAATCTCATTTAATCCTCACAAAGCCATGAAGAAGCTATTATTTCTACTTTCCCAATGAGAAGACTAAGAACTACAGAGTTCAAATTCAGTTTAAAATAATTTAAGCTATTCTCCATTTTATAGATAATAGGCTATACTAAGATAAAACATAGGGTAAAAAGTGAGAGGAGGAAAGACTCTCTCTAGCAAAAACAATTCAGTAAATGGTTTTGGCCTTATTCAATCTTCATTCTCCACAAGAAATTATCTCACTGCCAGGCGCAGTGGCTCACGCCTGTAATCCCAGCACTTTGGGAGGCCGAGGCAGATGGATCACGAGGTCAGGACTTTGAGACTAGCCTCGACAACATAGTGAAATCCCATCTCTATTAAAAATACAAAAAATTAGCTGAGTACGGTGGCAGGCACCTGTAATCCCAGCTACTCGGGAGGCTGAGGCAGGAGAATCGCTTGAACTGGGAGGTGAAAGTTGCAGTGAGCAGATTGAACCACTGTACTCCAGCCTGGGCAACCAAGCAAGACTACATCTTTAAAAAAAAAAAAAAAAAAAAGCCTCCTCAAGAACCAAAACACATATCTCAAAAAAATATGTACAAATGCCATCCAAAGAAACTGTGACTCTATTTGTTCTTCAATAAAAATATAAAATGTCTTCACCAAAATAAGCAAACATAAGTTAAATGTTTCTACTGCAAAAACAAACTTTTAGTTGTATTTCAGGACCAAAATGTTTTATTTTGTTCTATTAATACTAAGTAATTGTACTATTTAAATGAAATAATTTGGCTCATTCTCAAAAACTACAAAAACTCTTGGGAACTTTGGAGTTTTCAGTAAAGTTCAGATAAACTGAAAGTAATAGTCCCCCTTCTCTAAGGAAAATTAGATTAATATGGTTAGGGCTAATCTGTTCCATGCTGTAACTACTAAAATGAAAACTGGGGCCACACACCACTTAATTATACCTCAATATCCCTCTGGAAATCAAATAGGTCAATTCGCTGCCAGTTACTGCCATCCAGAGCAAGAACATTCCAGGCCTATTTTAAAGAAAAAGAGACAAAATGAGCAGAAGCTAAAATGAAGGGGAAGAGGCAGCAATATTCAAATTCACAATTCAACCAAATGACTGAAATGGATAGAAAAATCTATCAGGCCCTACCACTTACTCCCAAATGATGTGCCTTATTCCTGACCCATACTTCATTCTCCAATTAGATAATCTCATAAATGAGTGGTACTAGAAACTAACAGCTACAAAAGATCTTAGGCCAGGCATGGGGCTGGTGACTCAAATTTATAATCCCATCACTTTGGGAGGCCAAGGTGGAAGGATCACGTAAGGCCAGGAGTTCCAAACCAGCCTAGGCAATGCAGCAAAACCCAATCTCTATAAAAAAATTTAAAAAGTCGGCCAGGCGCGGTGCTCACACCTGTATTCCCAGCACTTTGGGAGGCTGAGGTGGACAGATCACCTAGAGTCAGGAGTTCAAGACCAGCCAGGCCAACATGGTGAAACCTCGTCTCTACTAAAAATACAAAAATTAGCTGGGTATGGTGGCATGCACCTGTAATCTCAGCTACTTGGGAGGCTGAGGTAGGAGAATCACTTGTACCCAGGAGACAGAAGTTGCAGTGAGCCATGATTGTACCACTGCACTCCAGCCTGTGCAACAGAGCAAGACTCCGTCTCAAAAAAAAATTAAAAAGGTCAATTAGCCAGGTGTGGTGGCACATGCCTGTAGTCCCACCTACTCAGAAGGGTGAGATGGGAGAATCGCGTAAGTCTGGGAAGTCAAGGCTGCAGTAAGCCATGATCTCACCACTGTACTCCAGCCTGGGAGACAGAGCAAGACCCTGGCAAAAAAACAAAAAACAAAACTATCACTCCCACCCCCCACATACACTTAAATTAGAGAAGTTAAGAAAAGGGAAGGTTGTGATAAATATATCATAGCCAGAAGGTGTTTTCTAACCGGAAAATTCTGATTTCTAATCCCAAAATGAGACAAAAGTTCAGTTGATGAAAAGCAAGTCTTTCTTCTGTTCTTAAACCTGAATAAGATGAGGATAAAACCAAACATCAAATAGGACAGTACTCTGAATACTGCTCTATTCTCACTCTCTCTCTCTATATATATATATAGAGAGAATGTGTGTGTGTATATACATATATACATGTATATATACATATATATACACATATATACTTATATACATGTATTTCTTGAGACAGGGTATCAGTATCACTGTCACCCAGGATGGAGTGCAGGGGCTCAATCATGGCTCACTTGCAGCCTTGAACCCCCAGCTCAAGCAATCCTCCCACCTCAGCCTCCCAAGTATCTGGAATCACAGCCATGCACCACCACATCTGGCTTTTTTTAATTTTCTGTAGAGATAGGGTCTTCCTATGTTGCCCAGGCTAGTCTTGAACTTCTGGCCTCAAGCAATCGTCCCATCTTGGCCTCCCAAAGTAAAGGGATTACAAGTGTGAGCCACCAAGCCCAGCCTTGGTTCAATGTTTATTTGCTATTCATATCCTATCGCTTGGCAGGACTTACAACTGTGAGATGGTGATTTGGGACTTAGAAAAGACACTATTGGCTGGGTGTGGTGGCTCACACCTGTAACCTACCAGGTCCAGCCTTAGTTCAATTTTTATTTGCTATCCATATCCTATCACTTGGTAGGATTTACAACTGTGATATGGTGATTTGGGACTTAGAAAAGACACTATCGGCTAGGCATGGTGGCTTGTGCCAATAATCCCAGCACTTAGGAGTTCGAGACCAGTCTGGCCAACATGGTAAAACCCCATCTCTACTAAAAGTAGAGAAATTAGCTGGGCTTGGTGGTGGGTACCTGTAATCCCAGCTACTTAGGAGGCTAAGGTAGGAGAACTGCTTGAACCTGGGAGGTGGAGGTTGCAGTGAGCCGAGACCATGCCACTGCACTCCAGCCTGGGCAAAGAAAGATTTTGTCTCAAAAAAGAAAGAAAAAAGACATTATAATTTCTCTGAAATCTTATTTTTTGAGGCGGAGTTTTGCTCTTGTTGCCCAGGCTGGAGTGCAATGGCACAATATGAGCTCACCACAACCTCTGCCTCCCAGGTTCAAGCAATTCTCCTGCCTCAGCCTCCTGAGTAGCTGGGATTACAGGCATGCGCCACCATGCCTGGCTAATTTTGTATTTTTAGTAGAGACAGGGTTTCACTATGTTGGTTAGGCTGGTCTCAAACTCCTGATCTTGCAATCCGCCCACCTCAGCCTCCCAAAGTCCTGGGATTACAGGCGTGAGCCACCACCATACCGAACCTCTCTGAAATTTTTAAAAGGAAATTCTGGATATATTTATAAGCCCCAGGGTAACTGTCACACAACCACCAAGAAAGATGCCAGGGGTATGACAGTAAGCAAGCAGTTACCATTCTAGAAATGTCTGAAGTTTTCTCAGATGTTCGACATTACTTTTATTTTTATGGCTTTTTCCAGTGGTTTCTTAAATGACTAGCCATGGAGGAAATAGATAAAATTTTTAAAGATTATCTCTAAACAACCTAAGAAAAAGGCAGACAAATTTTCTTGACCACTTTGAGATCCGGGTGAGCAGTGGATGTTTAAATGCTGGCATTTCTACAAGGTCGGCAATTAAGAATTCACGAAAAGGCCGGACGGGTGGCTCAAGCCTGTAATCCCAGCACTTTGGGAGGCCGAGGCGGGTGGATCACGAGGTCAAGAGATTGAGACCATCCTGGTCAACATGGTGGAACCCCGTCTCTACTAAAAATACAAAAATTAGCTGGGCATGGTGGCGCGTGCCTGTAATCCCAGCTACTCAGGAGGCTGAGGCAGGAGAATTGCCTGAACCCAGGAGGGGGGAGGTTGCGGTGAGCCGAGACCGCGCCATTGCACTCCAGCCTAGGTAACAAGAGCAAAACTCTGTCTCAAAAAAAAAGAATTCACGAAAATAATCACGCCGAATTACCAGAAAAACACCAAGAGCGCTATGAAGCCTCGGAGCCTTTGCTTCCCCTGGAAGCAACCGGGTAGCACAAAGGAGCAAAGCTCAGTTCCCGAGCACGGGGAATTCGGCTGTGCCCTCCCGCCGGCTCCGCGTCCCTCTCCGGGCGCAGAAGTCTCGGCTCCCGCGCCTCTCCCGAGCATTCAGCGCCCAGAGCAGGGAGGAGAACCTGAGGCGCGTCGAAGCTGGGAGAGAGAAGGGGCTGGTGTTGCTCTCCGGAGTAGTTGGGGCCTGGCCCCAGCGCGCCGGAAAAACCGGCGAACCGGCTATCCCGCAAGCGCACCCCAGGGCCAGACCAGACGCTGGACACCGAGAGGGAGGGTGCTGGGACGCGGACCAGGCGGGGCCAGCGCCTTCCTTTTTTTTTTTTTTGAGACACAGTCTTATCCTGTTGCCCAGGCTGGAGTGCAGTGGTGTAATCTTGGCCCCCCTCAAACCTCGGCCTCCCAGGTTCAACTGATTCCCATGCCTTAGCCTACTGAGTAACTTGGGATTACAGGTATGAACCATCATGCCCAAATAATTTTCTTTCTTTTTTTTTTTTTTTTTTTGGTATTTTTAGTAGAGACAAGGTTTTGGCAAGTTGGCCAGCCTGGTCTTGAACACCTGACCTCAGCTGATCCGCCTGCCTTAGCCTCCCAAAGTGCTGGGATTACAGGTGTCAGCCACTGTGCCCGGCTATGCCTTCCATTCTTTAAAAGTTAACACATATTAAGAAGGAAGAAAAACCTATAAATAAAAACAATATTTAAGGTGGCTCATGCTTGTAACCCAGCACTTTGGGAGGCTAAGGCAGGAGGATTGCTTGAGTTCAGGAGATCCAGACCAGTCTGAGCAACATAAAGAGAACCCATCTCTATAAATCAAAAAACTGTAAAAATACATTTAAAATTGAAGAACAGAAACAATTACAACTATTTCAGATAAACATTCCTGGGGTGAGACTCTGCAACTAAACAGGCTTAGACACTGATCTGAGTACTTTGCTTCTCAGTGGTGACCTTGGTTTCATATGGAGACAGAATGGAAAACAGACTCAATTGGAAGTTTAATGCCTACGTCTAGAGAGACCATACAAGTAATAAGGATAGAAATGCCATAAAAGAAATAATCAAAGGCTGTTTCTCAAAGAGCTGATACCGATTTAGTATGGTTTTTAGGATGCAGAAAATAAAGTTACCAAGACAAGGTGAATTTTGTTTTTTTATTTTTTAAAGACAGAGTCTTGTTCTGTTGCCCAGGCGGGAATGCAATGGCGTGATCTGGCTTACTGCAACCTCTGCCTCCCAGGCTCAAGCAACTCTCATGCCTCAGCCTTCTGAGTAGCTGGGATTACAGGCATGCATCACCGTGCCTGGCTAATTTTTTTGTATTTTTAATAGAGATGGGATTTCACCATGTTGGCCAGGGGCCTCAACTCCTAGCCTCAAGTGATCCGTCCGCCTCAACCTCCCAAAGTACTGGGATTACAGGCATGAGACACTGCACTTGGCCTTTTTTTTGTTTTGATTTGTTTTTTTATATGGAGTCTTGCTCTGACACCCAGGCTGGAGTGCAACGGCACAATCTCCGCTCATTGCAACCTCCCACCTCCTGGGTTCAAGCGATTCTCCTGTCTCAGCCTCCAGAGTAGCTGGGATTACAAATGCAAGCCACCATGCCCAGCTAATTTTTTGTATTTTTAGTAGAGATGGGGTTTCACCATGTTGGCCAGGCTGGTCTCAAACTCCTGACCTCGTGATCCATCTGCCTCAGCCTCCCAAAGTGCTGGGATTACATCGCATCCAGACTTTTTCTGAAATAGGGTCTCACTCTGTCGCACAGGCTGGAGTGAATAGCACAATCTTAGCTCAGTACAGCAGCCTTAACCTCCTGGGTTCACGTGATTGTCCCATCTCAGTTTCTCAAGTAGCTGAGACTACAGGTTCACATCACCACATCCAGCTAACTTTAATTATTTTTTTATAGAGACAAGGTCTCATACGTTGCCAGGCTGATCTTATGCAGTCCTCCCATTTCTGCTTCTCAAAGTTTTGGGTGGTGTGAGCCACCACATGCCCAGCCTGAATTTTCTGTTAAGTTTTCCTTTTTTTTGGCATGGTGGTAGGGATTAAGGCAGTGATTTAAAGGGACACTTGAGGCTGGGCATGGTGGCTCATGCCTATAATCCCAGCACTTTTGGAGGCTGGGGTGTGAGGACTACTTGAACCCAGGAGTTCAAGATCAGCCTGGGCAACAAAGTAAGACCCAGTCTCTACCAAAAAAAAAAAAAAAAAAAAAAAAAAAAAAAAAAAAGCATGCCACGGCAGCAAGCTCCTGTGGTCCCAGCTACATGAGAGGCTGAGGCAGGACAGACAGCTTGAGCCAAGAAGGTCTGCAGTGACCCATATTTGAATCACTGTACTCTAGCATAGGCAACATAAAAGGACACTGTACTCTAGCCTAGGCAACATAAAATGACACTTGGGATGTGAGAACATAAAAGGATACTTGGGAAGCTGGGCATGGTGGCTCACACCTGCAATCCCAGTGCTTTAGGAGGCCAGGGCGAGAGGATCATTTCTGGCCCAAAGTTTGAGACCAGCCTGGGTAACACAGTGAGATCTCATCTCTAAAAAAGTAAAAAAAAATTAGTCAAATATGGTGGCATACATCTGTAATCCCAGCTACTTGGGAGACTGACGCAGGAGGATCGCCTCAGCCCAGGAGCTCAGGGGTATAGTTTTTTGAATGTGGCTTTTGTTGTGGAAAGAAAATAAGAAAAAATAAATTTATGATGTTTTGCTATTTTGTCTCAGCAATGTCAACTGACAAAAATGGTTAAGTGTAATGTAGAAACAGACTTCGGAAATGAAGTCTGGTTTGCTCTGCAACATTTTTTTTTTTAACTTCAAGCTATCATCTCTTGAAGAATACAGGGAAATAACCCGAAAATTAATCCCTCAAGTGTTGTTTTTTCCAACCCTCCTGGAAACAAGAGTTGTGCATGTGTGTGTTGTGTTTGTATAAAATGAACTAGGAAAACATAATAAAACAAGATTTCATCACAACTGAGTCAAGTCTAAACTTTTAATATGCATGTTTATTGCTTTTTCATCGAAAATGTTTCCTGTTTATATTATGCAAATAAGAGATACAAAAAGTCAGAGTCAGTATATATAGTAGAATCCCATCATAAAATTATGTCTGGGTATGTCATTAGTGAAATAATATCCCTTGAAACATGAAAACACAAGTAACACCTAAAAGAAATGGGTAGCCTATGAAAGAGGCTATTGTCATCAGTGTGAAGAAAGGGTCCCCTTGTAACTATGCCAACCATACTTACCCTGGAGACCTGAGCACAGCGACACAGGGTAACAACATCTAGAAAAGAAAATATCCTAAAAAGAAGAGAGAAAGACACATTTTATTGCATAAGTTGACCTTTATTTATTTGAGACAGAGTCTCACTCTGTCAGCCAGGCTGTAGAGCAGTGGCATAATGACTGCTCACCCAGACTCAACTTCCTGGGGTCAGGTGATCCTCCCATATCAGGCTCCTGAGCAGCTAGGACTACAGGTGCCTGACACCATACCTGTCTAATTTTTAAATTTTTTGTAGAGACAGGGTTTCACCATGTTGCCCAAACTTCTGGGTCTCAAACATCTGGGCTCAAGCACTTGGCCTCCCAAATTGCAAGGATTACAGGTGTGAGCCATTGCACCTGGCCATTATGATAAAGTAGTTGCTCTTGATTTTAGCACACAAATAATTGACTATGTGTATATATACACCCAAACACAAAGGCGATCTTTAGAACAAACACACAAAATGCTTGAGCAATTTGTGAAGATAATACTGCCCATATATCACATTGGAAAAAAATGTTTTACTTGATAATGTACATAGAGATGCTGTCCAAGTTCAATTACTTACATAAAAGTATGATAAATAATTTCTTACTGTTTTTAAGTAAAAAAAAAAAATTTTTTTCCCACTTCCAATTATCAAAAGAAAGAAGCTAGGGAAAGGATCTTTTTTTTTGTTTTGTTTAGACAGGGTTTCACTCTGTCATGCAGGCTGAAGTGCAGTGGCACAATCACAGCTAATTGCAGCCTTGATCTCCCGGGCTGAAACAATCCTTCCACCTCAGCCTCCTGAGTAGCTAAAACAGGCACATGCCACCAAGCCTGGCTAATTTTTAAATGTTTTTGTAGAGATAAGGATCTCCCTATGTTGCACAGGCTGGTTTTCAGTTCCTGAGCTCAAGCAATCCTCCTGCCTCAGACTCCTGAAGTGCTAGGATGATATGTATGCTTGGATGAGAAGGATTTTTAAAATTTGAAACAAGGTCTCACTCCTGTTGCCCAGCAGTCATTGCTCGCTGCAGTCTCTATCCCCCAGGCTCAGAGGATTCTCCCACTTCATCCTCCCGAACAGCTGGGACCACAGGCACATGTCATCATGCCCAGCTAATTTTTTCTGTCCAGGCTGGAGTGCAGTGGCATGATCTCAGCTTATTGTAATCTCTGCCTCCCGAGTTCAATCGATTCTCCTGCCTCAGCCTCCAAAGTAGCTGGGATTACAGGTGCCCACTACCATGACCAGCTAATTTTTGTATTTTTAGTAGAGATGGGGTTTCACCGTGTTGGTCAGGCTGGTCTCCAACTCCTGACCTCAGGTGATCCACCTGTCTCAGCCTTCCAAAGTGCTGGGATTACAGGCGTGAACCACCACACCCAGCCCCTGCTGGAAAGGATCTTAATGAAGTATTTTACAGTTATGAAAGAAAAAAAGATAAAATAATTTAATAAAACCTAAAAACAGCAATGAAAAATGTTAAATCTCTAGGAAAAAAACAGAAACAAAATAAAATATAAATCTTAAAAATGTTAGAACTCTACATATTTCAGGCCAGGCGCGGTGGCTCAAGCCTGTAATCCCAGCACTTTGGGAGCCGAGGTGGGTAGATCACGAGGTCAAAAGATCGAGACCATACTGGTCAACATGGTGAAACCCCATCTCTACTAAAAATACAAAAAATTAGCTGGGCATGGTGGCACGTGCCTGTAATCCCAGCTACTCAGGAGGCTGAGGCAGGAGAATTGCCTGAACCCAGGAGGCGGAGGTTGCAGTGAGCCGAGATCATGCCATTGCACTCCAGCCTGGGTAACAAGAGTGAAACTCCATCTCAAAAAAAAAAAAAAAAAAAAATCTAGTGTAAAAAAAAAAAAAAAGAACTCTACATATTTCATTCTAATTTAATAAATTACAAAATTCTTTTAACACAGCAATGCTAGAAAGCATTTATTGTCTAGAATTTTTCTCAGCCTTACAGAAGGTAAATAAATATTTATTTTGAAGTAGACCAGGAAGTTGTTTGCTTAAAGCCTGATAAACCATACCATAAGCCACCTGTGCAAATAGGTCAGAGAATTGTGGAAATAAAAGTGAATGGAATATCAGGCATGGTGGCTCATGCCTATAATCCCATGTCTTTGGGCGGCTGAAGTGAAAAGACTGCTAGAGGCCTGGAGTTCAAGACCAGCCTGGGTAACATAGGCTCCCTATTTTAACAAAGAAAAAAAAAGGTAGCTTTGGCTAGGCATGATGGCTAAAGCCTGTAATTCCACCATTTGGGAGGATCACTTGAGGCCAAGAGTTTGACTAGCCTGGAAAATACAGTGAGACCCTGTCTCTAAAAAAATTTTAAAAATTAGGTTGGGCCAGGCACGGTGGCTCACACCTATTATCCCAGCACTTTGGGAGGCCAAGGTGGGCAGATCACCTGAGGTCAGGAGTTTGAAACCAGCATGACCATCATGGAGAAACCCTATCTCTACTAAAAATACAAAATTAGCCAGGCATGGTAGTGGGGTGCCTGCAATCCCAGCTACTCGGGAGGCTGAGGCAGGAGAATCACTTGAACTGCCAGGCACGGTGGCTCACGCCTGTAATCCCAGTATTTTGGGAGGCCAAGGTGGGTGGATCATGAGGTCAAGAGATTGAGTCCATCTTGGTCAACATGGTGAAATCCCGTCTCTACTAAAAAAAATAAATAAATAAAAAAATACAAAAAATTAGCTGGACATGGTGGCGTGTGCATGTAATCCCAGCTACTCAGGAGGCTGAGGCAGGAGAATTGCCTGATCCCAGCAGGCGGAGGTTGCGGTGAGCCAAGATCTTATACTGCACTCCAATCAGGGTGACTGAGCTAGACTCTGTCTCAAAAAAAAATTAAAGTTAATATTGCTTTAAGAATCTTATGACATTCCTTGAGATAAACAGAAATAGCTGGAGCATTAAAAAATCCAGGTCTAGAAGCATTCATTTCGAAAAGAAGGAGGGCCAGATTTTCTATTCTATAGTTACTTGAAGTGTAAAAAGCTTCCAGCTAAGCATGGTGGCTCATGCCTGTAATCCCACCAAGGCAGGTGGATCAGAAGGTCAGGAGATGGAGGCCATCCTGGCCAACTTGGTGAAACCTCGTCTCTACTAAAATACAAAAAATTTCCTGGGTGTGGTGGCACACACCTGTAATCCCAGCTACTCAGGAGGGAGAATCACTTGAACCTGGGAGGAGAAGGCTGCAGTGAGCCGAGATCACCCCACTGCACTTCAGCCTGGTGACAGAGCGAGACACCATCTCAAAAAAAAAAAAAGCTTCCAAGTCTGCTTAAAATAATAAAATTTACTTTAGTGTTTAGAGGCTATCCATCACATTTTTAAACTTTAAATAAGTGAGGATAAGAATTACATCAGATAGAAAGTCACATGCATTTTGCAAATATTGTCAGTGTTTTTAAAAACTTTTTATTGGGGTAAATCATATAAAAAATTTACCGTTGTAATTTTTTTGCTTTTTTTTTTTGAGACAGAGTCTCGTTTTGTCACCAGGTGCCACGCTGGAGTGCGGTGGCGCGATCTTGGCTCGTTGCAACCTCCGCCTCCCAGGTTCAAGCAATTCTCCTACCTCAGCCTCCCAGGTAGCTGGAACTACAGGACATGCCATGATGCCCAGCTAATTTTTTTTTGTATTTTTAGTAGAGATGGGGTTTCACCATGTTGGCCAGGATGGTCTCAATCTCTTGACCTCGTGATCCGCCCACCTCAGCCTCCCAAAGTGCTGGGATTACAGGCTTGAGCCACCGCACCCAGCCTTTTTGTTTGTTTGTTTTAAAGGCAGGTCTCAATTTGTCCCCCAGGCTGAAGTGCAGTAGCGCATTCATGATTCACTGTAACCTTTAATTCCTGGGCTCAAGAGATCCTCCCATTTCAGCCTCCCGAAGTGCTGGGATCATCGGCATGAGCCACCGTGCCTGGCCTTAACTGTTTTGGAAAGTACACAGTTCAGTGGCATTAAGTATATTCACATTGTTATGCAATCATCACCATCCATCTCCAAAACTTTTTTCATCTTCCCAAATTGATACTCTGTACACATTAAACAGTAACTTCCCATTTACCCCTCCTCCCAGACCCTGGCAACTACCATTCCATTAATACTTTGTCTCTATAAAGTTGACTATTCGAGGTACCTCATACAAATATCCTTCTGTGTCCCTTTCGGATAAGAATCATACATTATTTGCCATTTTGTGACTTATTTAAGTTAAGTTTTCAGGCTTGAGCATGTTGTAGTATGTGTCACAATTTCCTTTCATAGTAACATTGAATAATATCCCCCTGTATGTATATACAGTATTTTGTACATCCACTGATGGACACTTGGGCTGTTCCCACCATTTGGCTTTGTGAATCATGCTGCTATGAACATCGGTGTACAGATAAGTGTTTGAGTTTCTGCTTTAAGTATTTTGGGTAAATACCCAGAAGTGGAATTGCTGGATTATATGTTTCATTTCCTGAGGAACTGCCATACAATTTTCCATAGCCGTTGCACCACTTTAAATTCTCATGACCAGTGCACAAGGGTTCCAATTTGTCCACATCCTTGTCAACACATCACTTACTTATTTTTTAAGATAATAACCTTCCTAATGTGTCTGAACTGACATCTGAGGTTTTGAATTGTATTTCCCTAATGCTTAGTGACGTTGGGAATCTGTTCATTCTTTAGCCAGTTCTACTTCTTGGCCAGTTGCATTTCTTCTTTAAGAAAATACCTATTTTTAAGTCCTGTACCCATCTTTTTTTTTTGAGTCACAGTCTCACTCTGTCACCAGGCACTGCAGCTTCCACCTCCTAGGTTCAAGTAATTCTCCTGCCTCAGCCTACCAAGTAGCAGGGATTACAGGTGCCTGTGATCATGCTAGGCTAATTTTTTTTTTATTTTTATTAGAGATGTTGGCCAGGCTGGTATCAAACTCCTGACTTCAAGTGATCCGCCCACCTTGGCCTCCCAAAGTGTTGGGATTACAGGCATGAACCACCATGTCT